CCCCCCCCCCCCTCTCTCCTCCCATTCCACTTGGGTATTCAATCCCGGTTCATACCGTCTTTAGGACCGGAAACGGGCCGTTCCAAAATATTTAGGGAATTAAAGAATTTTGGGTTTCAAGTTCGGTCCGAATTAAACCCAAAATGATTCTGTCCAGATGGGATAATGTGAAATTTACAGTGTCCAGAGGACTGACTAGAGGAGGGTTCTATGATTATTATTAGTCCGTTGAAGCCCAAATCTTTTTTATTAAGCCTATTTGTGTATAAAGTATATTTACGGAGTATATTAGATCATTTCTAGCCGAAGCCCATCCGGATATATTATCTCGTCGAAAATTACTTTGGAACTCGACTTTTCGATAATAATACAAGGCCTCACAACATTATCGAAAATATTTTCTAGGATTTTCTAGTAAGTACTCTGATATTACATTATAGTCCCAAAAAAATTCCTTATATCTTTTTGGGACATCCCAAAAAAAGTTTTCTTTTTCCTTTTATGAAAAAGTTTGAGTGGGTCGCAAATTTTCTCTATCTTTTGCATCACTTTCAACCACATGTTTTTTCTTTCTTTAAACTTTATGTCAAGTCAAATTGTGAATCTTATTTTGGGACGGAGGGAGTATGAAATATACTCTGGAGTCCTTAAAGTTTGCGATATTATTATACACTGAGAGTACATTCCGTGCATTTAGGTGTTGGGATTGAAAATTTCTTTTTAATTTGATATAAATTGAAGGATTTTATTTATACGAGTATTAATAAAATAATGATTATCAACATAAAATTTAGTGTTTATCAAAGTGCTGAAATATTTACTTATTCTAACGATTAAATAGACGGAATGGACCCTCCAAAAACATTAAACTAATTTTCACTAATTTAAGAACTCGGAGTATATTTAAATGGCAGGTCCTGAGAATTCAATGACCTGGACTGAGACAAAAAAAAGACACTAAAAGTCTTATCCTTAATGATCTAATAAATTAAAATATGTAAACTAATTATATTAAAATAATAATTAATGCAATAGTATTACAAAAAAAAAGTAAATGACAAAATCCATATGGATCGTGGACGGATTCCCCAGAAAAGATATTTTTGACTTATTAATTAATTAAAAAATCGAATCGACTAGCTTTAATTTAAAAGTGTAATATGATTTTTTTAAAAAAGTATAATATGAATTTAGTACTCCGTATATGAGTTAGATGTTCTCTTCAACTTGTTCTTATTAATTATTCTCTTCATCTTAATTCATATTGTATGTTGTTTACGATATTTCATTGAAACTAAATATTTTAAACTCAATTTGTTTGGAAATTAAATAGAATTAAAATATAAAATTTGTATAATTAATAATGCCACTCTCTATTATTCCTCTATAGTCAAATTATTGCATGGACCTAAAATCCATGATGAACCTTCATATATGTTAAATAAGTATTTTCAAAGGACTGAAATAAGCATTTTTAAAATAAAAAACATATGAGAATATGCATGGGAACCAACATAATGCAGAAACTGGTTACATATACTCGTATAAAATCAAAGTCTAGTGAACTCTTAATTTCAAAAAGCAAATGCTAATTTCAATTCAAAAGTAAATTGTCTACAAAAACATCCCTAAAGTAGCGTGTGGGACATATAAAAGTAATTTAAAAAAAAATTGCATCTTGTGAAATTAAAAAAAAAAAAAAGAAAAACTAAAACTAAAAACGTCATTGAATGCGTTTTCGACTAGACACACTTAGATTTTTTTTTCTCCACCTTATTAGTCCAATAACCCTAGTTCCCCATTCACATATGGATACAACGTTGAGACACGATAAAAAATTGATAATGTTTAAAGGAAACGAATAAGCTAAAATAGAAATTAAAGAGAGCCCTTATCACAAAATAGGAGTAATATATTTTTACTCCATATTGTTTTTTATTCCGTAGTATTATATGATGTTATTGATATTGCAACTCTTATTTTAGAAATAAAAATATGGAACTAATATTTTTGTATTTTTATCTATATTATTTTACTATTAATTTACTCCCTTGGTCCAACAATAAAGCTCTCATTCACTATTTACAGGTCGAACTTTATTAACTTTGTTGGACTATTTTCGTGTCCTATTTGATAAAATAATATAATCATATCACCTCTAGTTTTGTAGATTTTTTCATATAGTTTTTAAATATATACCGGAGTAATTTTTATTTTTTAATTCCATACCATTTTTTATGAAAAAATGATTTGAAAATAACATTAGTCAAATACTGTAACGCGCAACAAAAATTTTATTTATGGACGGAGGGAGTATTAATTTTCCCAACGAAAATCTTATATATATATATATATATATATACATACATACATACATACATATATATACATATATATATATATATATAAAATAAGATGTGACAAGAATATTTTATTTTATCAAATTATTAATGAAAATGTACAAACAAAGAAAAGTTATCGAGAAACCGTAATAGACTAATAGTGACAGTGGCATCCGTTTCGGTTCGAATAGAGTATTTATTTATTTATTTATTTATGTAGAGTAGTATATATAGAACTAACCCGTGCCAAGGCGGAACCGCGGAAGGCCCAAAGAGCTCAGGGAGATCACCAAAGAGGAAAATTTAAGTTTTCTTATCATTTCTTTTCAACGAAAATAATAATAAAAATAACAATAAAAAATGGGTCCTTCTTCTTCACTTCGCTCATATGCAGCTGCATTCTTCTTTGTGATGCTCTTCATCGCCTCTACTGGTTTGCTTCGATGTGTTCCTTTTATCAATTACTAATTGTTTATTAATTGCCTCTTGGATGTGTTCTTCTTGGCTGCATCTTCATACATATATAAACAAGGGAAATTTACCTAAATAGTATTAAAACACACTGATCTTCTCAATGTAGTACTATATGTTTTTATTTTCAAATTAATGTAGTATCACTGTTCAATATCCACTGGTCATTGTTCAGGTGAGACATTGTTTAAACTAAATGTCCACCGTCATTGGACATTGTTCCAGCCACTACACATTATTCAAGTATTATTTAGGGAATAAAAAAATAAGTACTACACAAAGAAAAAAGAAATGACATATAGTTTACTAGAGTACTATTTAGTGCATATTTCACTATAAACAAAGCCTAGCTCATATATACTCCAAAACTATTACTCCGTGTTTACAAAATTATTGTCATGTTTTGAAAAATATACAAAATATCATATCTTTTTATTTACATATTATTCTTCCTAGTTCGATTTACGAGCTTTAGTTGAAGTTATTTCAAGACTAATTTATTTGATTATAATTGTAAAATTAAAAAAAAAATTATATATTTTAAAATTACATCAAAAGTTTTATAAAATAAGAGGCGATATAACTATATTATTTTATCAATTAGCTAACGAAAACGGGTAAAGAAAGTGATTTAAGTCTAACCATATAAATACTGAGTAAGAAAATCATTTTAGGATGGAGGAAGTACAATAACATAAAATTTTAAAAGTTCTAAAATTTTAAAAATTATCTTTTTTAAATGATCTAATTTACAAACTTTTTATAGAAATAAAAAGTAAAATTGTATATTTTAAAACTCTATCAAAATTACTAGAAAACAAATAGTGACATGTGTATTTTATTCTATCAAATTGTAAACTAGACAATAATTGTGAGTTGGGGCAAATGGAGCAAATTAATGGTTTATTTAATATTCTTTTTTGAAGTTATTTTAAATTAAAATTATAATATTGTATAAATAAAAAATGTTATGTACAACATTTACTTGTCTCGTCCCAAAACAATTTTTACTTTTGATATTTCTTGCCCAAACTTTATAAAGTTTTAACTACAGATTCTAAAATATATAATATGTATATGTGTTGTGTGTGTAATGTAGATTTAATATCATTATGAGAAATTTACCTAAATAAGACTAAAACATAATTACTTTCTCAATATAGGACCGTATCATATGAAGATGGTGGCTGCACAGGGGCGGAAGACATGCGAGCAACATGGCGTGCCGGGGAAATGCACTGGTAAGAAATATGATAACAAGCAATGCAATCAGGGTTGCATCTTTGATGGTTTTTCGGCGGGCGGTCAATGCAGTTCCAGATACGGTCGTTGCCAGTGCTTCTGCTGATCGATATATGTTAATTAAATTAAGTCGGACCATACTTTATAAATAACTTGGACACAAATGTTATATATATATATATATACACACACACACACACACACATACTAGTAAGCGTGTCGTGCGAAATTATAAGTTCTTTTCTGGGTTTTCTACGATTCTTTCCCAGATCATAACAATAATGTTGTCGAATCGAATAGAGTTTCTAGATTGCTTCTCTTTTTAATTTGTTTCTTAGAACTTGAATATGTTTCATGTGTTTACCTATCTCTGGTTCACTCATTTTACATTATAATATATACCGTCCCCATCCCAAACTTAATTGCTCTCCTGCATGTTACGAATAATGAGGTTTGTTTATTTTTGTTTATAATTTAATTTATTTGATTATTTATTACCGAGCAAGGGCTTATTTTTATTGGAATAATCGGACCAAATTAGACTAGACCAAATTAAATCAGACCAGACTTTAATAAAATTAAATCAAATCCAATTAGATCAGACGAAGAGAACAAGATCATAATTATGTTGATTAATGACCACTACGCTTAAGATTAGTGTTTGTATTTAACTTTAGCCTTTTGAAAACATGATAGTTGAGTTTTAGTAGTTGTCAAGCTTTCTAAAAGAATCAGTTTTTTAGTGTCGTGTCTATTGAGAAGTGAAATAAGTGAATTACCTAATTTTTCTAATTAAATGACGGTTAAAACGAGTCGTGAAAGTCTTTTCATTTGATTTATGAAGGTAAATAATACTACTTGGCAGTTTTACAAAGAATATATAAAATAGTATGGCTATAATACTAGATTTCGGATCAAGGCGTCATCTGCGTTATTAAGTATTGTCACTTCATAATCCCCATCACCCTTGGCCAGGGGCAAGCTAGGGGTGCAGGGTGCCGAGGGCGGGGGGAGGGGGCCGGAGGATCAGAGTGGTTATTGCCAATGGGAGGATATGATTAATCATTAGATGAGATCCATCTCATGCACAGAAGAGAATGATAATTAAACTCGCGGAAAAAGCGCATGCATTTTTAATTTGGCTTCGTTGCGTGCATAGTTTTAGTTCCAAAAAAAACCACCAATGGTTCTAGGTCACGTTAATATTGCCCGGTTGGTCTTTCATAGAGCTGGTAAATCTGTTGTTCAAGTCAGTTTTAGATTGGGGTTTGATAACTTCGAGTTTGAGTTATATCAATTCCAACAAGTTCAGATTCACATTAAGAACTATATGTTCACCACGCAATGTCATTAAGTTTGCGTTGATTAAACAAATTATGAACTTTATTTTTAAATATTTAATTTTATAATAGTACTTGTATTTCATGAAGAGCGCTGACATATTACATTATTATCATTTTTCTATTACATTATCAATACATATTCTTATACCAGTACCACACTATCATCATACTCCTATTTTGGTTTTAAAAGATTTAGAACTCATATTTTAGTATTTTCATACTTTTTTTTACTCATATTCAGAAAGATTTCTCATGTTTAGAAGACACATAAAAAATGAAGCGAATTTTAAATATTTTATTTGTAGATAAAGTTTCATAGGATATTCAAAAAATAAAAAATGAAACAAAAGAAGTATTACGAGTATCATTTTCGATAGCACAAATCCAGTGACGCTGGTGTTAAGTGTTAACCCTGGTCCCTGAATCAGTGTCGGCTTCTTCACGGAAGAAATCTCCAAAGGGTTTATTCGTCGTCGCAATGAAGCTTCTCCAAACCCTAGGTAGTCCTCTCCTTCCATCGACGCATCAGAGAAAAGCTTATCTTTGGTTTGGTGTTATCTGCGATTCACTTCATTCATTCAATTTCCAGGTACCAGCCGCTTGCTGCATCGAGCCGCAGGGCGTAGATTCTTCTCTGCGTCGACGGAGGAGTACGCCAAGAGAAATTACGCCGACAATGAGGCCGAATACAACACTGTTATCAGCTCTATCACTGCTCAGCGAAGGTGGATACACTTTCGATGCTGTTTGTTTTGTTGTCTTTGAGTGCGAGCGAATTCATGGCGATTCTGTTTTTCTTGTGCGCAGACATTACTTGTTAAGGGATGTATATGATGACATGGTGCTGGATGGGGTAAAGCCTGAGAGGGACACGTTTCATTCCCTGATCCTAGGGACCATGAAAGGCGCTCGTTTGCAGGATGCTCTCTTTTTCAGAGATGAAATGAAATCAATGGGTCTTGTTCCAGATGTATGTATATGTGGTGATCTGATTAGACTGTGCTAGTGTTATTAGGTTGCCTTTGTGGTTCTGTTGATTTCTTTATATTCTATTGTGGAAATCATAAATGTGGTCTATATTCTGTTCTTTTTTTTTGCTTGTATTTAGTGGGTTGAAGATCATTTTTTAACATCTAAACATTGAAGTATATTGGCTTATAAATTTCAATCACTCCTTTTTCAACATTTTTCTTAAACACCGTGAAGTCAGAGACTAAACTTCTTTGCGGGATGGTGGAAATATGTGAAAAGGAGAAATAACAGGAGAACCATGCTTGTCATTTCCCAATTCAGTGATTAACTGGATAAATATCATGTTTCTGGTTAATCACCCCACTTACTATGGCATGCTGAATCTAAACATCACATGATGTACAAAACCAACTTTTTGGCTACCAAGCTGATGGTTTTCTTAACTCAGGGAATTTAGGTTGTTGACTACCAAGCTGATTTTTAATAAACTTCATTTCATCATTCCACAGGTTGGCTTATACAACTTTTTGATTTCTACATGCGGAAAATGTAAGAACTCCGATCAAGCAATCCGGGTATGCATACTTTTTCGTCTTATGACTACCTATAACATTTCTAACATCTGTGATACAGACCTTTTTTTTTTCTAACTCTTAATTTGAAGCATAGGTTTTAGAAGAAATGAAGAAATTTGGAGTCAAGCCTTCTGGACAAACCTATGTTTGTCTTCTCAATGCATGTGCAGCTGAAGGTCGATTAGATCGAGTGTAAGATTTTATCCTCGTTTCTCTCTAATGTTTCCCTTCTATTAAGTTTTCTTTTATGAACATGAGGTAAAGCATTGCAAGTAAAGTTAAACCAAATAGAGTATTGTCATTGATAGCTGGATTCAAATATTTTTATTAATTCACCAAAATAGTTGTCACATGCACTTGACCAATTTTCTCAATTTAAATTTAATTGTTAATAATACTTGATGAGCAATAATTTTTAAAGGATTCTCATAATTTGAACTTCTTGCTAGCTTCAGACCTTGAGCACATGAATGTAACTTAACTATATTAGTATTCATTATTCAGTATTTGCTGCACCCTCTGAGCTTTAGTTTATTAAGCCTGTTTTAGTCTGTACACGTACATGTGTACACACTTATGCCTCATTAGCATCCAATTTCGATCTTCTCATTAGCCGTTCAATAGCCACTTTTTTTGGCTTATCAACCCTTTTTTCTAACACTAATATGTTTGACTACGCACTCTTATCCAGATAAAAAGGGAACACAGTAGGATGTTACGTTTATTTTAAAAAAAATATATAGGTTTATTTTTTGTATTATTATTATTAGGGTATTGCTAAATCAACCCTAAAAAGTGGCTATATGCCTATATCCACACCTTTTTCCTATATTTGCCAAATCCACACCCATAAACATAACTTTAACATTGGTGTGGATTTAGCAAATTTAAGTGAAAGGGTGGATATAGCCATTTTTGGGTTGGATTTAGCAACACCCTTATCATTATCATCATCACAATCATCATTGTCAATGTCAATAAAATAATAAAAAATGATGTGATGTCACAATTTATATAAATTATATTTCCTTTGTCCCCAACAATTAGTTTTAAAAAAACATTTAGGTTAATTTTTTTGTACTATCATTATTACTATTATTATTTTTATCATCATCGTCATTGTCAATGTCAATAAAATACGTAGTAATAAAGAAATGACATATTGACAATTTACATAAACTATATTTCTTTCGTTGTTGTCATATTGACAATTTACATAAACTATATTTCTTTTGTCCCCCAACAATTATTTTAAAAAATTTATTTAGTTTTATTTTTTGTATTATTATTATTATTATCATTATCATAATCAAAATCATCATTTTCACTGTCAATATAATAATAAAGAAATGGTGTAATGTCACAATTTATATAAATTATATTTCCTTTACCCCAAATCAAATTTCAATTACCATTATAGAGTCACATAAAATATTAAAACGGTAAATTAAAATGGTTTATTATATATGAAGTATTTCTCATTGTAATTTTACAATATTCTATAATTATGTTTATCTGAGGTTTGTATCAAGTTTGAGATTCTTAGTTACTGTATTAAGACTTAAGTGTTTACAACTCAATTTATTTATTTTTAATGAAATAATCTATTTACTATTATAGTTTATAATTTTTTAAATAACATCAACACGTTTTTGTTTAGTTAGATGGACTTAATTTATAGTGTATTGAACGTTAAAAACTATGTCATGAAGTTTTTTAAAAGTATTGGACCGTCACAAAATGTTCCTAGATCTAATTTTTTAGCTTCCCTTCATATGTTTTTTTTCTTTCTTTCAATGTTTATTTCTTTCCATCTAATAGTTAATCAATTTATATTGTACATCTGGATGTATTTTGGCAAAAAAAATTAATGTGTCGGATGTACAATAAATATTACATCCTTTTGATAAAAATTTTGTGTTCGACTTCCACAAAGTTTAAAAAAAAGTTTAAGAAGTAAAAAATATACTATAGCTAGTATTTTTTGGTACGGATGAAAAATTCTATTATTGATATTGGTAAAAAAAGTGTAAAAAATAATAATAATGAGTGCGAGTTACCAAAATATTTGTGACATGAAAAAAAATAAAAGGAGGCAAATGAAATAGATGGAGCATGTATCATTTAAATAAAAACATGAAATTTCGAAAATATAATATTCATTGCAAGAACTTTCATTTTTTCCAACAATTTCCTAACTTATTTCAGGTTTTACCAACTCCTTTCCGTTTCTTCTAAATCTTTCCAATATTTTCCAACTCCTTCCAATTTCTATCAACTCCGTCCAATTTTTCCAACATCTTCTAATTTTTTCCCAACTCCTTTCAATTTCTTTCAACTCCTTCCAGCTATTTACATCAAACAACTTTCTTTTTTCAATTTTCTTCCTTACTAAATGGGCTTTTAATGTTGCAGGTATGCAATTGTTAGAGATATGACAGCAGCTGCTGTAGGATTGAACAAGTTCTGCTACGCTGGTCTCATATCAGCTCACAAGAATCAACGACCTCTAGCTGATGATGTTGCATCTAAAGTAACGTGCAATAAAAGTTGCAGAATCCTTAAAGGTTTTGTATGTTTTACAGACTTTAGTTATCCCAATTTGTTTTCTTTTTGTGGAGTAGATTATTGAGCTTGTTGAGCAGTCAAAGAGTTGGTCAGAGGTTGAAGCTCCAGGGGATATTCATCCAAGATTTATGACAATCAGTTCTGACGAAGAACTTTACAACATGCCTACTGCGGAGTATATACATCGTCGTGGAATGTTGAATTTGCAGTTAACTGTGTATCATGTTGCATTTCATGCTTTTGCAGACATGAAAAATGTGGAGGTACCTTTGCTACATCTTCATGATTCTGTATTCTTTCATTTCTACATGGCCCATCTATAATTGCTTTCGCTTTGCTTCAAGTTAGGCTGTATTATTCTTTCAAAATCAAGTAGATATCAGATAGGACACAAACCAAGCATATGTATAGTTCCCCTTGAATAAGATTATCATATCCGTGGACTGATTGGATAATTTTTCAAAGAAGACATATGTGACTTTAAATACCTTACATACAGATTCTTCTGTTATCAAGCTGAGGCCTTGAAAAAATAATCAATTATATACATTTTAACTGATTCCTACTTTCAATGAAAGCATTTGATCATCTACTAAATGATTGACTGAAGTTGCACACTACAGTCACTACTCCAACTTGACTTTTAATTGTCAACCAATAGCTTAACCTACAAAATGTAATTATCCGTATTTATTTACTACAAAATGTGTTATTCCTTAACTATTTGATGTATCTAGTTATAAATTATGACCGATTGACTACTGTCTTGAATGGGGCTAACATGTATCTAGGGTCAAATATCTATATTCTTTGGGTGATGGCAGAACCCCATTAACCTAACTGTTGGGCAATATTTTCTCTCCTCACTTTTTGTTGAATTTAAAACATTTATATTTCGTGCGAGCTGGGGTCTCTTGGAAACAGCCTCTTTACTTTTGAGTAGGGGCAAGGTTTGTGTACACACACTCTCCCCAGACCCTTCTCTTGTGGGATCCAATTGGGTTGTTGTTGTTAAATTTTTAAAAAAAGAACCTATATGATCAGTTGTTGAGTTCATTTCCCATAGTTCAATGAGGTCCAGCTTTTTACCCATGACAGGCTATTGACATGCTTTTGACGATTCTTGAAAAGGATGGGAAAACACCTGATGTATACATCCTGATGCAACTAATGAGGTACATCCTTTTTTGGTTCACTTAAATACTAACCATGCTTCAGTAGTGTCCTTGTATGACACAGGCCCAAGGATCTATTTTAAATTTGATGTAGAAAGAGAACTTGGCATACAATAGTATTTGAAATAGGAGCTTAAAATAAGCTCATGTTTTAATAGCTATCTCCTATAGCTCTCCAGAAATAGCCCCCTTACTGTTTTTTTTTTCCTTTGAAATTGATAAACTTATTCTTTTTCAAAATAACACCATTTATTTTCCTTAATCAATACAAGGAATGCCCTTTTGTGCATTTGTAATTAAGTCAGATACTCGATAAGGAATTTTGCCAAGCCCTTCTGCCACGAGTTACAGGTTGTCTTTCAGCTCCTGCCCAAGACTTGTACCTTTTTAACTTCACACGCAGCAGCGTGCCTAACATATTTTCGAAACAACTCAAGTGTCACGATTCTGCTCTACAAGCTGCACTTGTCTTTTCTTTGATTGCCTTTGGTTCTTTGGTTACAATCCTTTGCACATTGGTGTTGTTGAACTATATTACTTTGGCGGTTCTGAAGTTTTCAGTTATTAGATTTGATTGCAATATATGTGTAGGTGTTATCTACATTCTGGAGACTTAGATCGTGGTCTTAAGATTTTTGATGACTACATGAAATCCGGAAGAGCGTGTGTTATAGAACTTTTTGTGGTATGCTATACTTAAAACATAATGAATGCAACTCTTCTTGTACTCCCTCTGTCTTAATTACTCTTCATTCTTTCTTCCTTTTTGTTTGTCCCAAAAGTATCTCCTCTTTCCCTTTAAAGAAAGTATTATGTGGATGATATTGTTTCTCTTGAGGAGTTGAGGGTGAATCTACACGACTATACTACAGTTTTCACTTTCTTAAAGAACATGTGAAGTCAAACCAGAAGAGAATACTGGGACAGAGGGAGTATGATCTAGTCTCTCCTATCTTTAACAACAGATGTAACTAATGGCCTTTTTCTATTTGGAAGGTTCTAATAGAAGGATCGATGGTGGGGTATACTACCAGGGGAATGCAAATTGCTCAAGATACACTGGTACGTTTTGAGATTCTAGAGCATTGTGTTCATTTACTTATTTTGACAGCTATGATAAGCACGACTTCTTTTGTTTAATGGCCACATTATGTTTGTATCTCCAGTTAGCCTTCAATAACAGAAATTTTACCATGAGCGTGAAGATGGGTTCCGATCTTCTTCTTGCAGCTGCTGGTGAAAAGGTTTGAACAGTACTTTTTCCCTGCCCAAAAACGCGGTCACATTTGAAAACTTGTTTTTGATAGAAGAGATATTTGCTTGCAGACCGGTGTATATACAGTTGCCAATATGATATGGGACATGATGATTGGAAAGGAAGTCACTCCCTCATTTCGTGCGGTTGAAGCATATTACAAGGGGTTATTGGTAATCAATCTTTCTTACAAGACAACCCCAGTTAACCCCAACCCCCCTCTCTTGCACACAGTTATATTAAGGCATATCTAATGAATCATATTGAAAAAAAATCAGGCACGTGACGTTCCAAAAGAAGATCCACGATTGATGCAAGTTGCTAAAATATTAAATGATGCGACAAAAAGATTCCCAAGAATAACCCCAAGGCCTGCAGAGTGAGTTGCCGTTGTGTACCTTCATTCCGTGGCAAGTACTGCTTACTCATGTTGAACTTTGGGATCGCGATTTTCCTCTGATAAAAATGGATAACAATAGTGTGTTTCACTATTTCCATTGTTTGAAGCGTTCTGAAAGCTATCATAAACTTCTTCCTGCTTACAGAGATTGTTCATTTTTTCTGGTTTTTTTTTAACACAGAAGAAATGGTTTGTAACTTGGAATGATTAATTCTATATGCTGTTTCCAATTCACACTTTGAAAAGAAAAGGATATCCAGTCAAAATCTTGGCCAAGTCAATTAGTTGTAGTTAAAAAAAATTGTTTTACTCTCCTTAACTGTTCCTTTTATTCTTATTTTAAGTTGTTAGTTGTTAATTATATTGTATGATTGAAATGCCGTAAAAAAACAATGTATGATTGAAATTATTTTCAAATTAGTTCAATTGAAAATTGGAGTGGAAGTCAATGTAAAAGTTTAATTTTTTTTCCCCCCATAATTTGTTGTCAATGTTAAAAAATGTTAACCACAAAAGTTAAAATTAAAAAAGTAAGATGTGAGTTAGAGGGGGTGTTATTTTATCAAATGGGTACGAAAAGTCAATTTTAAAAATAATTAGAGTTTGATCAAGTAGTATGCAAGTTAACATGAAATAGAGAAAGTATCAGAAATGCTTGGTGACAATATTTTTTAAAACAGCCTTTTGATTAAAAAAAAGGTGGATTTCAAAAAGCTTCGTTATCAAGTTCTTTGAAGATACTCAATTTTTTTTCAATCTACAACTAATTACTTCAAAAAGCCTTATTTTTTTTATTTTTAAGGATTCAAAGGCCTTTTTTAGTTCGAATAAAATTGCATAACAAACTAAAAATGACGAAATGAATAAAAACACATGTTGATTAATAACGAATCCCAATCACAAATGGTGCATATTGCAGTGTGCTCTCAAATTCATTGGATTTGAATCAACTAATTAAATTCCTCCAACTATTTGTTGTACTAAACAAACACATTGGGAAGGTAGCCAATGCGGCACCAAATGTGACAAGCACCCGGCTAGTTACAGTGGCAGAGGCAGTATCGAGTTCTTNACATATTTCATCAAAAATCCCCTCCAAAGGCAATCTGCAGTAGCTCGTAGGGCACGTGCCCTACCATCCCCACCCCACCCCCATCGATCAGGAAGATTATCAAGAAGCACTACGGAGCTTTGTAGCATTTCCAACAGCTTTGACGTAGAAGTATAAATGCCAAAGCTTTGCATTGTCCTGCGCGACAAAACAAACCAACAGCACATCAAAAGCCCGAGCCTTTAAACTCCGGTTTGAACTTTTGGTTTACCTCTTTTTCCAAATCAATGTGCATTTCGTTGCAAGAATGTGCATCTGATTGCCCTTGACAACGGATAATCTCTGCAACACTGTCTAGATTTCTTGGTGGCAGGTTCTTAATCATTCGTTGGAGTTCTTGTTTCTCAGCGAGGGTCATTAACCTGTCAATGACAAACAAACGTTCCCCCCATAATGACAGGCTGACACTCTGACCGTATGATGCAACAAGGAAAGTTAGGTTTGTTGGTCCATAATCCAACCTGAACATTGGCAAAACCAAGTGGCCCTCTGGTAGCCACTATCTACCAGAGAGTAATTTGATTTATTGGACGTAAGTTCAGAATTGGTTAATTTGGAAACAGTCTCTTGAGTTTCAAGTAGGAGAAAAATCTACCCACACACCCTTGACCCTACCCAAACCCTACTTTTTGTGAGATTTTACTGGCTTTGTTTTTGTAAGCACAAAATTGGTTGATGGTGAAAAACAGTAGAGCGGCAAGTTTTTTTTTGCTGAAATTGCTCGGGATGATTATTTTAGGCTTTCTAGCATTTTTTGTACTCTGTGTTTCTTTTCTTCATTTGATCAATAAAATATATTTTTTGGGACACTCTAGAAACTTGGCACAGGAGGTAAATCATGGGATGTGCCTACAGTGGTGGAGCGAGATATTTTGGTCGTTGGGGGCAATGTTATATAAAGCCACATCAGAATATACTGAGCCAAAACAGTTGGGTTTGGTATTTCGGACCAAAGGAAGAAGGGCACTAATTTTATGGACTCAAATTAAGGGGGGCTTTTATATAAATATTCTAAGTAATACTGATTCCGTCCCAAAATAAACTTCACGCTTTCGTTTTCCATCCGTCTCAAAATAAACTTCACACTTCCATTTTCAGTCCATCCCATAATAAGTTTCACTCTGTATTTCTTTTTAAGGAAAGGAATGTGTGGCTTGCATCAGTTTCACTCCAAGCAAACTTTAACCATACACTTTTTAATTTCCAACACTTCTCTCAAACTATGTGAAGTCAAACCATGAAGTTTATTTTGGGACAGAGTACGCTCCTTACATTTCTAGGTCATGGGGGACCTGCGCAGCCTATGCTCCAAAGGTAGCTCTGCCGCAGTGTTTGCCTAAGTGGTCAATTAGTTCCCCAAGCATAGTGTATTTATAATCCCCTCTTGGCAAAAACAACTGGGCAACAAATTGTCTCATAAGTTCATATTATAAAAAGAGGAGAAATGAGTTGAATGCTCTCTGGCACCGAGGGAATGAATTACCTGCACTTCGACATCACGGCATCAAGTAGTTCTTTAAGTTCCTGCTCCATGTGGTCAAGCTGCAGAAAAACAAAACCGCAATCAAAATTCTTGACTTCTTTACGAATAAATAGGAGTATAGGACTGGCTAGCTACTTGGATGGAGGTGATAAAGTAAGACTTAGGACTTCAGGATCTTACCAAGGATATGGGCTTTTTTTCGCAGGAGATACCCCAACTTTGGACGTTGTAACAAAAAGTACCACATCTTATGTTTGTAACAAAACCATACCCCAACTTTAAGAATAAGAAATCACCCTAAATAGGAGTAAAACATAGTAAAAGTACCAAAATAGGAGCTCCATGTTTTTATCCTCAAAATATGAGTTTGCACTATACATGAACATTTCACAGTACTTTTTTGTAATGAATATAGTCATGAGTGGCAATGTAAATGTATTTTAACTCTTATTTCGGGAATAAAAATATGGAACTCTCATCAGAATATGACAATTCCGACCAGGAGGTATCTGTTTGTTATAATTCCCAAACTCCAAAGTTGGGGTTTTTATTGTGAAAAAAAAACCCAAGGATATGACATTAGATATGAACCCATGGAGGTTCCTTATAGCAGTTTGTGCACGTGCACTTTGGGTCTAAGTTCCTAATGTTGGTATGACTGCTTCTTTTGTATGTGCTTTGTTCACATTACAATGTTTACTTAGTTTGCATGTGCTTTTGTGTTTGAGTCGGGAGTCCCCTTTTGGAAAGAGCCTCTCTACTACCAAGTAGGAGGAATGCCTGCATACACATACACCGTTCCCATACCCTACTTCTTGTGGGATTTTACTGGGATTGCTGTTGTAGGACAGGCTTGCTATGTGTGATTGTGATGGTAATTCTCACATTAAAAAAAAGCAAGAAATATAAAATCTGGATACCACAGCTGACAAATCATCGGATACCCTTTTGAGTCCTTCCTCTACGATTGAGCTTTCACTCTGGAGGAGAACCAAACGACCATCCTAAAAAAGATGACCAAATTAGGAATATTTGGCGACTTCATTGCAAAAGAAAATAGAAAAAAAATAGAAAAACACTAGAAATGTGGCTCTTACGACTTCATCTTCTTTAGCAGCCCCAACACTTGTATCTGAAAGGTCATCATTCTTTTTTTTGTTGTTGGGTTGCAAAGGCTCATTCCCCTTGTTGCATTCAAGTCTGCAGGCATTGCTGAATGGCTAGCAGATGGTGGTCTTAGTAAATTATATACTTTAATAATGAATACATGAAGGAAATAAAACAACAAACGGCTAATACCTCTCGAACAGATTTGTCCTCGGGGCCTTGACTTTCAGAAGCCTAACATGAAATTAAAAAAAAAAATCAAACAGAAGTTAGCGAACATTTTTTCAAAAAAAAAAAGAAATTTTAGAGATTATAAGAACCATGTTATGGGTGTTGGTACATATATACATGAAGGCTCATCCTTGACAGAGCAAAAACCATAGAGACTTGACCTTGTCAATGCCTTGGCCAATTAAACCTTGAATTATATACTCCCTAGGTCCAGATTTAGTTATCTACTTTCTAAAAATTCTCATTTTAAGAAGTGAATTTAAAATGTCAAATAAGCCCTTCAAATGAGTTTGTCACTCATTCATGTATTGTAAACAATGCTCGTATTCTATCTCTATGATATTTTAGACAATTCATTATACTTGCTGTATTTAATACGGAAAGTGCACAACTAAATCCGTAAAAATGAAAACAAAAAAGTGAACTAAATCCAGACAGATGGTACATTTAACTTATGAAGTTAAACCCATGTTTGTAATACTAACAAGAGACTTTAGGAGCAAGCAAACACAGCTCTAATCTAGTACACTATTGCAACTAGGAACTCACTGAAATAGAATGAGTAAGAAACTATTGCTACTTCTATTAAAAGGAAACTAATACCAAATTACCAATATCACTAATATATCAGAGTACTTCATATGTCCCACTAAAAGAGTCATGCTTCATACAGGTACAACTTTTTAATTACAACTTATGGAAAACATCATATACAGCTATATTTTAAAATTAATATGTTGCTTTAATTAAATTCAAGACACCCTAATTGTTTCACACTTTTTTTGTAAACCCCCATAAAATATGATGAAAATCAGCTTATTTTGATAAAATATGACTCTTTTTTGGGACAAAAATAAGTTTTCAAATTGGACTTTTTTTATGGAGGGATTAGTTACTATAAGAAAATATGATAGGTTCCAGGCTGGTTGATTAAGTCATATTATACGGAGTAGTATTTAATAAATGGGACTATTTAATTAATTGTTGAGTTTATTTATGATTTAGAAAATTATTTAATCCCACTTAATGAGAATATTGGAGTCAATCATATCTAATTAGTAAGTGCAGGTTTGGACTAAGATATTCTCACTTAGTTAGTAGGAGGTCATGAGTAAGTTACTACTAGTGGAAGTTAGAGTCACTTTGTACAAACATACCTCTAGTCATGTGTAATGGATTATCAAAGATTACATAGTAAATTATTATTGGGAGATTCTCAAGGCTAATAGAATTTCTCATAGGCGAGAGATTCTTGCTTAAGTGATTCCATTAGATTATTTCCTTATTCTTTATAAATCTTATTCCGTGGAACTGGTTTCTTTCAAAATACCATTTCAACAATAGAAAATTATTCATGGAAAAAGTGAAGGAAAACCAGGTACAAAATGACACAATTACTGAAGGAAAAATGGAAGACACTTACTCGCAGAGGAAAAGTGGACAGTTTGACCTTCTTACTAGGACGATCTTGATCAGTTTCAGGTGCATCAGTAGCTGAGTTACTTGGAAGACTCCCTGAGAATCTCAAAACAAATGACTTTAACTCGCACAATTTTAAAACAGGATCAACCATCTGCAATTGAAAGGTATGAATGGAAACAAATTACACAACGTTAGAATGAGCAACTTGAGTATAATACTGTATATTAAATTGAGTCTAAACTACCCCAAAAGGATCCTTTGGAAGTTTGGTTTTGAAGGTTTTGGAGGGAAGACTTTAGATGGGTAAGTGTGTTGTCTTTATGTTTTGTCCCCCAACTAAATTCTCATTTTCCATTTCAGAATTTCCCCAAAATAAGTTCACACTCAATATTAGGAAATATCTGGAGTACTGAAAGTCAATAATACTCTCTGCCTTAAAAATTTAAAATGCGACTTCTCCAACCAATCTTAATTGAAGGGCATATTTAGAAAATCAACACCAAAAATTTCTTTGCCTTGAATCATGTGAAGCCAAAATGTGAACTTCATTAGGGGACATAGGGAATATATATTTAAGATTTTATTAAAAGCACCAGAGAATAACATTATATGTGATAATACAATATTTCAATAACACCTTGTTCATTTTAAGAGACATTCTATTTATCAAGATATCGAGTAAACTCTCTAAAGCCTTCCCATCCAAAACCATCCATCCAATTCCAAACACACCTTTATAGGTGAGGTTTACACCACACTGTGTACTTGAATCAAACCTAGTGGACAACAGATGCGGGATACTCGGCGCACACTCGAAGCCTAAACCAAACTAGAGTGGAAATGTGCATCTAAAGCAAGCCCCAAAAGGGCTAACCCAAACCATTGCACAGGAGGATACCACACAAACCACCATGAGACCCATACAATGTTCATTTGGCCTAACTTGCCTCAAAAGCATTATCTAGAGGTGAGAAGTCTCACACATTGTCCCAAACCGTCAAGTGGGAGGGCACGCTACAATTCACCATAGGTTCCATACAATGTTAAATTGTACCTAACTCACCAAAAAAAAGATTCTCCAGAGGTGAGTCTACCTTAAATTTGTATGTAGCGGACTCAAACTTAGTAAACAACACACTGTGCATAATAGCAAAGAGATGTCAGCATTCATCATATGAATGGAGAACAGTGTAAAGACCATTGTATACCTCATCAACATCCTGCGAAAGAGAAAAAACACTACGGCGAAGTAGAGATTTCAGCTTTTCCCTTTTTAACTCATAGACCTCAGGACTAATGCAACCATGAAACAAGGAAGACGAACTTGCACTATTATGCTTCTTCTTTTCACTAGTCTTATACCCATTCACAACTTTAGCGGAGGCAGAATCTTGATGTGACAAAGAAGGCAGAAAATCTTCATCTTGGGATAGTAACTCTGCTATCTCAGATTTATAGTAGCTAAAGTAATCCGGTCCAAAGGTCTTGGAACCATTTGAAGCATCCCACCCCATTGCAGCTTCTATAATGATAACATATAAGGGTGTAAATATGGAGAAAAATACTATCCCCTTCCGGTGATCTTTTCTATGTGTTCAAAGATTCACAATGGTAATTTGTGTTGCTGCTTAATATACCGCATGAAATAAACAAAATTTAAAATTTACAATTAGGGTCTGTTCAGACCGACAGAAAATGCGTTCACGGAATTGGTTTTAGAAAAATGACTCTTTTTTTGTTTTTTTGGAAAATTTGCTTTTCCGTTGTTTAGCTGAAAGTTCTGTTTGGTTTATTTGCCCTTAGATAAACAAACAATTGTTAGAGCCCATATCTTGGCAAATGGCTACTAATAGCAATATCCGCCATAGATTGGCACTTCAGAGCCAAAAAGCATTAGCTGCATAGAATTATTGGGGCTTACTAGCTCTTGATGATATCAGATAATGATAACATTAGCCCGAATGATTAGCCCGGGCGATTATGATGAAGACCAAAACTAATCATAGATTCATAGCACTAAAAACTGAAAGCAATAGCCATCTTAGAATTAAAACCAGTGACCCAGTGACCCATTTAAATCCAAGAAATACATATGGAGACACGCTACTAGAAGTTTCATGATATGAAGAAAAAGTTATATATTTTAAAAAACTTGCATTCAAAACCTCATACCAGGCAGGAGTTAAAGAGGAGAAGATGAAAAAAGAACCTGCAATTAATTGTTTCCGGTGAAGAGTGCGGCGGCGGTAGGCGGCGTTGACGGCGGAGAAGCGGCGATGGCAGATGAAGAATGAGCTTCCTTATTAGCGATCTGGGAACCAAAACAGCTCTGGCTATGGAGTTGTAGCTAAGAACTTAGGGGGGCTGTTTGGCAACTTCTGAAGGTAAGAAGAGGTCTGAATCATTACGTGCTGAACCAGTAAGAGATCTGAACCATTAAGAACTAGTATATTGCTTAACTATTCAGAGGTAAATGTCTGATCAATTCAGATAAGAGATATTAACCATTCAGACTTTGTATAATACTTAATCATTCAGAGGCAAATCTCTTAACCATTCAGACTTCTGAACATTAAGAGGTTCAAACAAACAGTTTGAACCATTAAGTGCTGAACCATTCAGACATCTGAACCATTAAGAGGCTGAAACAAACAGCCCCTTAATAATTTATCCGGCCAGTGGGCCCTCTATACTACATCCGGTTCAATTGAACCCAACATTTAACAACAACAATGAACCCAACAATTAGTAGTCCAAAAATAACTAAATTTAAGGTGCAATTGAACCCAAAATTTATGAAATATTTTTATTGAAAAGTTTAGAGTGAATTACAGAAATGATCTCTATTGATACATAGTTTTTCATTTTTAGGCCGGACTTATCAAATATTACCAGTGTAGTCCATTTTTTATTCCTTTCCACGATCAATCTTTCGTCACTCACGCTGTTGTCTACATGTTAAATACGACATTAAAAAAATAATTTTCCATCTCTCAATTAAACACTTCACCAGCCCTCCTCATATATGCCTTTGTTGTATGGTTAGGATGCATCATTCACATTGTCATGTGCAACAAAGACAGTAATTTTCAGGTTCTGTGATTTTGCGATGAAAACAAGGGCTGGGATTAGAGTTCTGAGGGAAAGCTGATGACGGAGAGGGGTAGTTTAATTGAGAGGTGGGTGTAGGAAATTACCGCTTCAACTCTACATTGAACAAGGAGATAACAATAGTCCAATCCCAAAATGTAATAGCACACTCGTCAATCTATTAGACCATTATCCTTTTCAATTTCAACTTCTTTTTTCAATTCTCTTATACTTCTAGCATGATATGTTACTTAATTTCAATTTTTACTTTAAGTATTTTCTACCGTATTATTTTGTACTTTGAAGTTTGAATTTTGGTTTGAGATTTTTTTTCTTAAATTTTGAAGTGTTATGAACTTATAAATTTAACAATTGCCCTCCCTTGTGAATTGTTATTGTTATACAACAACAACAACAACCCAGTTAAATCCACAAGAGTAGGGTCTGGGGAGGGTGTGTGTACGCAGACCTTGCCCCTACTCGAAAGTAGAGAGGCTGTTTCCAAAGAGACCCCCGGCTCAACGTCGAAAGTTGCATTGCTTGACTAACTGCTACTTCATTAATTAAAGAAGCGCAGACAGTTTAGAGATCCATTTTGATTTATTCCATCACACCCCAAAGCCAAAAAATTGTGAAATTTTGGCTCCATCGGAGATGATGGAACTATGAATTGTTATTGTTATGAACTNCCACAAGAGTAGGGTCTGGGGAGGGTGTGTGTACGCAGACCTTGCCCCTACTCGAAAGTAGAGAGGCTGTTTCCAAAGAGACCCCCGGCTCAACGTCGAAAGTTGCATTGCTTGACTAACTGCTACTTCATTAATTAAAGAAGCGCAGACAGTTTAGAGATCCATTTTGATTTATTCCATCACACCCCAAAGCCAAAAAATTGTGAAATTTTGGCTCCATCGGAGATGATGGAACTATGAATTGTTATTGTTATGAACTTGGGAATTGATCGTATTATATATATTTACATATACAATTTAGATATGAATTATTTATAGTGAAAATTAGGTCATTTATGTTTAAAATCCAGTCCATAATAGGGTAAACCCGACCCGGATCGGAAAATTCAGGTCCGGACCAGTCCAGAGCGGTATCAAAGAAGTCTGGTCTTCGGTCCTCGCAAATAGAAGATTCTGGTTCTGGTCCGGTCCAGTTTTGGACCGATGCACACCCCTATTCGTGAGCGTAACTCAAAAGTTTATATATAAACAATACTCCATATATTTTTCATTCAAAATTTTTCTTTTCATTTAACTTTTTACGTATTAAAGCAATACTTTGAATTTTTGACTATTAACATCTACAATAGATAACCCATTCCGAACAATAAACTTAACCCATTTGATTGATTTTTATGGATGTCTTTTAGATGTTAAAAAAATCTCATAAAAAATGGTCACCCGGGCTTCGCTTAAACGCCGTGAATCAATTAAAAGGGAAGAATCTAGCTTTGGTTTTTCAAATTAAATGAGTTTTTATATCAAAAATAGACTAATTTGAAAAAATATCCAATTATATATGGTCAATTTGAAAAATTAGTATACGTTTTATCGCCGTTTTGACGCTGTTTTGAAGACCGTTGGTCGGGAGGGAATTAAATGAGCAAAGGCTATAAGATATTAAGATTACAAAAAGATAGAGCTAGTAATCTGAATTTAGATCCTTCAAATTAAGGTTTACAATAGTATTTATGGGACAAAAGGAGAGTTCAATATATAGTACACTCATTCAAGAAATTTTCTTCTTCTTCTGCTGCTGCTGCTTTTCTTTCCATTCATTAATTTCAGATTTTATCTTAGCTTCAACACTGACATGGAAGCCGGGATAGGGTTCATAGCCGAAGAAAGATTGAAGAGCCTGTGTGAGAAGTGTTTGTTTAGGGCAATAAACCCAGCCATTTCTTATGATTTCTAAAGAGAAAGTGTCTGTTTTTACCTCCAACAGGACAAAGAAAGGAGCCATGAGGAATGCCTGTGTGAGATTGTCCAGCAAAGCCGGAGCCCGTTTCTGGAACGCGAAGAAGAGAAAGAATGAGGTTGATCAGTCGTAGTTTTTAGACGCGTGAAGAAGGGTTTAACTTCACTTAACCATACCTCAAACACGCCGTGACCTATGAACTGTCCTGTCCAGCAGAACAGCTGAGCTGCAAGAACAACCTGATCGATCATGTGTGAGATTTAATGCCGAAAATATGCCCCAAAGTGTTTGAATCTCAGTACAAGAACAGATGTGAAACAAACAAAGTATAATGCTGAAAAAAGACTAACCTTCCAAGCCATTGAAAAGCCAAGAAGACGAGCAAGGCGACTGCTAGAGACCCAGCAGAGAAAGCAAATGAGGGCGGCGAAAGAGCCAGCTTTCCTGTCCAAACCCACATAGAAGAGGCCATAGATCAAGGCCAATAGGAACCCATAATTGAAAACCAGAAGAGTTTCAGAACCAAGCTGGACCGGAGGAGCTGCGAGAATTGGGGGAGTGAAGTACAAGAGGAGCAGAGAGGTGAAGAAAATTGGCCAAACAAAAAGCATGTGAATGAAGATGTTCGTCGGGTTGCTGTGGTATGCTCCATAGAATGCAAAGTGCTTCTCCAAATCAAACAATCCCATGCTTCCTTTCTACTCCTCTTTATCTGATGAAGATGATGAAATCATATAGCAGTAGATCAGAGAACTACTCTGGAAAGATTGAATTTTTCTTCCCACTTTCGGGTTGGGTCGATGCAGATTATGAAGATCCGAGGAAGAAGATAAACACAAGATTTCTTTTTTGTTATTTATTTTTTTATACAAAACTTCCCAATTACTCTTTTCAATAAAAACATTAGTTTCATATGAACTTTCATATCATATGACAGTGTTCTAAATAATCTTTTCCTGCGCCAATTTGACCATTAACGAGCAGAAAACCCTAACCCCCGAAAAGCCCCAATTTTTCTTCCATTTGAATCCTCTCTTTTGGGTTTTCCCACTACATCAGCTCCAAGGATCACCAAACAATCTCAAATAACACAATCATTCTTCCAATGATCAAATAAAAACAGCTCAAAATCCAAAGATTTTTCACGCAATTTTATATAAGGGCATAAACGCAGAAGAAAACAATAAGAAGTATAGAGATCGGGATTCAAAAATTTTAAAGCAAGGATAATTGGTAGCTGAAGTTACCAGAAAACGCAACTCCTGAGTCCTGATAGATAAGATGATGAACAATTGATTACGGATGCTGAAGTCTCTTCCACACTTCAAGTGTGAATTGAGTTACTTGAGTGGGAGTGTTACAATTTGATTTTCGAGCAAATGGTTTTAAACAATTAAACTACTCCGTATTAAAGTGATTTTTGCTCCGCACCCACACTCTCCACGTCAAAGGCACTTCAGGAGGTAATTCTGAACCTTGGTTTAAGTACTTCTATTTGAATAAAGGTGAATATTAGGAGTACTTGTTATACCAAGATATTTTGAACTACTCCTTAAATTGAGGGTTAGATGAATCGATTATTAGACAAAAGTAGGAATGATCAAATCTATGACGAGCAATGCTAGGGGTACACCAAAAGGTGTACCCCAAATGTACACCACTCATTCTCCACCACACATTTTTATTTGATTTTTATTTACTTATTTTTTTTAAATTTTTTTTGCTTTTTTTAGTGGACAAGGAGGGGGTGGGGGACATATGGGGTACACCTTGGTGTACCCCTAGCATTTTTCATCTATGATACTTACCAATGTCCCGATCGGATCAAGAATGAATAGTAGAGGTGATGCAAATCACCGAAAGCAAGATTCTTCAGCCACGAATAATGTCTTTAGGGAGAAAGACGTTCTATGTCTCCTATTATTAATACTCTGTGTATATGGACAAAATCATAGGAAGGTGAGAAAAACAAAAATTCCTTCACCCCACGAAGTAGAAAGAAATGCGAGATGTCTTCAACTAAAGAAAGAATCGAACCCCTGCTCAATCCTCTAGTTGGCAGAGTTCAAACCCAAATTCCCACATGATACAGCCCTCAATGAGATGTGTATGTGTGCGCGTTCCAACACTAGTAATAACATCGTATGGTATATTAGCGATGACGTCTATGCCAAGTAAGATTATGGCCACTTGGTACCATTAGGAACACAAATAGGAAGAGTAAACCAACCTCAAGTTGATCACATGTCAAGATGTCAATCCAAGCACTCCAGAATGCACAAATACATTCAACCGACATCATCGTAACAAGGCCGAGCTATTTGAAAATTTTGATTCGCATCATATATCGTGGTTGCCCATGCGAGAGTGGGGCACACTCATAGTTAAAGTAACTAGTGAGAATCATCCACGAGTTAGAAACCCCTGATGAATTTCAGCTTGCCATCACCGAGGAACTTTTCGCAAGAAACACTTGATTATGGTGAGAGCGCACAAGAAAGAACCAAGACAACTTACCGTCTTGGCCACACTTTGTAAAGAAGTTTATCAACCATCATTCTCACCAACCGAGTGCAAACGAGCCGAAGGACTATTCTTTACTAAGACGCAAGGCGAGTTGACTATAAGAGAATTTGTGGGACTCATTCAGAACGTAGAGATATACTTGCACATGTATGCTATGAATGAACAACGTATTTACTATTTAGGTGATGTTTGATTTTTGAAGTATTTTTGAAATGTATTAGCTACCAATTTTTTCTAATTTTTTCTAGTTCTTTCAATTTTTTTCAGGTTTTTCTAACGATTTGAAAAAGGTATTTATATATAATCAATATATACAATAACATTTTATATCTAAATTTATAATATATTATCTCAAACACGGATAAATATAAATTTTTTTAATCCAAAATTTGAGTTTTTACATACTTATTTGAATAATCATTTAATTCTTTTAATTAAATACTTTTTAACTCTTTAATTCTTCCAATATTTTTCAAATCTTTCCAATTTCTTTTAACTTTTTGTAATTTCTTAAAATATCTCACTCTAAAATTCTAACTCAAAAGTGCAACTCTAAATTAAGCTAAAGTACTTCTTTTCCCACACCGTATTCATAAATATAATTCACCTTCTTAATTTACTGCTAACAAAGTCTGCATCCCGCCGTGTGTTTCATTTCATGAGCTGTAGGGCTTAGAGCTGAGTTTCCTCTTATCTTTAAATCTAGCAGCAAATGTGACAGCATGTTACTACTCTTAAAATTAAAAGATTAAATTTAATTCTAATAAATTGCGGTCACATTTGCTACTAGATTTGGTTAATAGGCTAATCAATATATTTTTTTTAATTTGAAGTGAAAAGTTTTTTTAGTTATTCCTTTTTGTGGAAAGTAAAAAAAAAACTTTTTAGTTATTACTCCCTCCGTCCCATTTTATATTGCCTGTTTTGAATTTGGGATATGTTTAAGAAAGTGAACAAATATTGTTGATTTTCCAAAAATGCATTTACTTTTTCAGGGGAGTGACGATGAATGAGAAGATAATGTGGAAAGAAGTGACTTATTTTAGCGATAGTTTAATTATTTTACCCTTAAAAGTTCACTATAATAAGAAACAAGCAACTTATTTTGGGACGGACAAAAAAGAAAAACAGATAATTTAAAATGGGACAAAGGGAGTACTTTGCATGGAAAGTAAAAAAATGAGAAATCTTTTTTATGAAAATGAAAAAAAATGGTAATTTTATTTGGGGAGGGAAGGAACACATAGCTTGTCCCTTTCACATTTGATCGATCATGATTTGTAAAATAAATCAACAATGTAAAATTATTGAATGAATTAGAATTTAAATACGGTTCCATATTTTATCAACCTCATGCAAATATCCTATACAAGGGCGACCTCTATTTCAATAGTTAAAAAGAAAAGGTATAGATATCAATGAAAAATGACCCTTTTTTTTGGACTTCATTAAAAAAACATCACAATCTCCCACCTGGGAAAATATTTGGGGTGCGCCCTACGTGTTCAACTATAGCTGAAGGAGGAAGACGCCCAGTGCAGATCTCATGAACTGTGGAAAATAGAGGGAACGACTCCAACCATCCCCGATAACGTAGAACCTCGTACACCTCTTTTGCCGTTGACACGCCCTACAAGATATGGACAACAAGCCCAGCCATTATTGACTAAAGGTTGGATAAATTATTTACAAGCAAAGATATGAGAGGTCTGAACCATTAAGTGCTGAACCAGTAAGAGGTCTGAACCATTAAGAGCTAGTATATTGCTTAACTATTCAGAGGCAAATGTCTGATCAATTCAGAGAAGAGGTCTTAACCATTCAAACTCTGTATAATACTTAACCATTCAGAGGCAAATGTCTGAGCCATTCAGACATCTGAACCATTAAGAGGCTGAAACAAACAGTCTCAACCATTAAGTGCTGGTCAGCCATCTGAACCATTAAGAGGCTGAAACAAACAACCCCTTAGTGTTGTTTGTGTGTTTTTTCCACTCTTCACACTATGCATACCTGAAGTTTTTGGCCCTGCAACATCTCTGCTTCGAGTTCATCAAAGGACCTAGCAACGGGCCATAAATAAGCATCAGTGTACAAACCTTATAATATCTTCAATGTGGAAATCTATCTACACTATATATATATATAATGCAGACCTCTTCCCCCCATCCCTTGCAAAAGCTTCGGCGCATTTCCTGTTTCGTCCTCCTACTGCACGGTCAAGAAGTTTTAATCACATACCATAATTGCAACCAAGAAAGTATTCAGCACAAGTATATTTGTCTATACTCACAGCAAGTTGTGATCACATCTGCTACCCCACAGCTCTCGAAAAATGTGCTGTCTTTAACTGACGTGAAGAGCAATTTCGCAAATGCATTCATCTCTTTCAAGCCAATTCTCATTATTGCTGCCTAGTTGATATTTTAAAAGGAGCAAATGTTTAGAAAATTATTATTTGAGGTCTAAAATATACTTTAGGGCTAAAACAGTCTCTCTATTATTTGGGTGAACTTCATTCTTCCTATCTTGCATGATTTACCTTTGTGTTGTTTCCCAACTCCAGCCCATCAACAAATCCTATCATGGGAACAAAATAGATGAAGAGGGAAAATCATCAGACTAGGTTTGGAACTGGGAAAGTGGTTAAGGGAAGGGAAAAAATGTTGGCAAAAATGGTTTTTTATGTTTGGTTTTAACTTGGAAAGTATGAAGGGAAATAAAAGTTGAATAGATTTTTTAGTTTTCTCAAAAAAGTAAGATGTTATGGTCTTTATATAATAGATTTACATACATAAAATATGTTTAAAGAAATATCTAAAATTGATTTATTGAGAATTTTAATATTCCTCCAAAGTTCCTTTTTCCAAATTTCTCTGTCTACTTCGCTTTCTATTTACTTTCCCTAGCATTTCACAAGTTCCAAACGGACAATAAACCAAAATTAAAGGAAAGAGTCCGAGAATATGCACCTGCTGCTAAAGCCACAACATTTTTCAGGGTACCACACAGTTCAACTCCTTCCACATCTTGGACCTGAGATAGGAAAATTTTAATTGAATTGTTGATAAGACTACTCCGTACTTTATAGAAACATCATGCTTTCAACTAATGTTTAAAACGGTATGCACTCACAACTGAGACCATAAAATAAGGTGCATTGAATAACTGAACCCATTTATGTGCTATCTCTTTGTTTTCCCTGTATCCTATTGTTGCTTCACTGAACATCTCCACCGCAATCTGCATTCACAACTTTGAGTTGTTATAACACGGTTTAGCTTTAGGAATTTGTGGACTGAATCAAAATGGTACATTAAACTTCCTTCCGTTCTTATGAAGTTTTGTGTAGTAAATGCAACAATGCACTAAGGGTCTAATGGGAACAACCTTTCAGTCTAATTAGTGCATTAGTTCAGTAGTGACCTCATTAGCAATGTTTGCCCCCATTAGGACGCAGCAATTCACTCCGAGTCGTTCTGTGATGAGGGTGGAAATGATGCGCGGACCCTCCTCCTTCTTGACCTCCATCCCTTTAATCAGAGAAATAGCCGAAGCGTCTTTCCTGATTTTCCCAACTAATCTCCTGCATATTCCCTCCACGAATTGATGCGGAGTAACAAAGACTAGCATGTTCGCTTCCCTCACTGCAACACAGTTTCCCCAAACAAAAGGCCATGTGTCAACCTTGAACAACATCATAATCAACACATTGACTAAATTAGAGCCATAAAGTCCTTATAGTTGATGATGTTCATGCTACTTATTTTATCACTCGTCCCACTACAAGTCACCCTTTGTCGGGTACTCGCTGAATAGAGATAAGGTCTACGTCTCTACAAGTATACTTACATCTTGCCCCACAAACACTTATTGACTGAACTGATTCCTCACACACCAATCTTAGGTACAACTTAGAAATAATGGTTTTTGTACCTGCATGATCAAGGTCAGGGTCTGCAATAACATTCTTGCCGAGCTTAATGCCGGGTAGGTACTTAACATTCTCCTGCATCAAGAAACACATTCCATATCAGAGTTGAAGACACACATTGCAGGTTTCAGTTACACGCCGCGACTAGTTATATAACAAGGAGTGCAAAATAGACTGAGGTGCATACATTGGTCCTGTTTATGACCTCAGAGAGCTTTTCACCTGTTGGCAGTACTTCTTCGAATACCCACATCCTCACTTCATCTTAAAATTCAAAACAAGAGATATTAGGGAAAATATCCAAAATTCGATTTTGAATCGGGCATTGCAGCAAAACATGAAACACAATAACAGGCATTCATGATCACAAAAACTCGTCGGGAAATGCAAACCGTGGAAGGAATTGAGCCTGAGAGCGTTGTGGGCGATGAGCTTAGCGGCGACACTTCCCCAGTTACCGCTGCCAACGACGGCGATCCTCGATTTCCTGTCCTCCGGCGCATCGACGGGAGGGAAGTTTCGGTTGATTTGGCCGTTCGGGGTCGGAGCATTCCACGAGCGAGCCATGGATGGATGGGGAGAAGAAGAGGTGAAGCGATTGGGGGAGGGGAATGGCGGAGATAAACGGGTGGCGGGGCGGAGAAGGCAGAGGCGTGTACGGATTGGAGGAATGAATGCGGGAGAAAGAGAGACGTTTGAAATCCAGAAGCGAACGGGAACGATGGAAGCAGAAACCATCTCCGTAGATCCGAGCATCCATTGCCAGAATCTTGGGATGGGAGAAGCTGGTTTCTAGTGCATTGTCAAACCAAACGGTTTGGTTCATTGTTTTTCTATGCAAAAAATGTGTGCCCAATTTTGATTATCTTATCAGACATTTTTTTCAGAGTTATATTTAACTAATTTTGTTTATTTATATTTACTATTCATTTTAAAAAAAATAGTTTAACTTTGTCACATTTTATTTTATAGAGTTTTTTTATCTAGTGTTTTATTTAACTAATTTTGTTTATTTATATTTACTATTCATTTCAAAAAAAATAATTTAACTTTGTCACATTTTATTTTGTAGAGTTTTTTATCTAGTGTTATATTTAACTAATTTTGTTTATTTATATTTACTATTCATTTCAAAAAAAATAATTTAACTTTGTCACATTTTATTTTGTAGAGTTTTTTTATCTAGTGTTTTGCCCTCATATGTATGTGGACAAAAAAATATGTGAACTTTATGTCAACTATAGCACTATGATTTTAACATTTTCCTATGATGGGTATATTACATACCCAGGTATCCTCGTCGATACCGAGGTGACATGTCAACGGTGAGGTCGGGTGACCAGTGACGGGTCGAGTCTTACAGATTCAGCTAGACGACTCGTTGGGGCATGACGATAGGTGACCGGTCACCTCGGAAATTAGGTGACCGGTCACGATCTACTTTTCCGGACTTGGCAAATCGAGTATTGGGGACACGATGTTAGGTGACCGGTCACCTCCGGAAAAAGGTGACCGGTCACGACTTTGGTCTTCAAGAATGGTCATTAGAAACACTTTTGGGCGCGACATTTGGTTACCGGTCACCCCCGGAAGATAGGTGACCGGTCACACTTTCGGTTTTCGAAGATGAACCTTGGAAGCTATGTTAGAAGAGTCGTGGATGACCGGTCACCCCCGGGTTGGGAGACCGGTCACTATCTTGAGCTCTTGAGGAATGAAGCATTGGGCTCCGTACAACTTGACCGGTCTCACTTTTGAGTTTCGATCTATGGATCACGGCCAGACGTATCCGCCTCCCCCAAACCCTAGTATCTAGGAGATCAATAGGGGGACCCACACCCGTCACTCAAGAGATCAGTGTGGTAAAGTCCTTTGGCACCATCCTAGATTTGTATCCAATCAATATATTCTGATTGCACAGTGATGGATGTTGTCTGGTTATTTGTCCTTAAGTGGGCAGCTTCCATACACCTACTGAGCCTCCTCTACTCTATAAATAATTTGTGATAGAGAGAGGAGAAGGCATTCACTACTACTTCCATAAAATCCTGTACACTCTAGAAAGAGTAAGAAATATATTCGGACTCGGGAGATTTACCCCGGTCTAGGTAATTCTGTGTTGTGTTCCTTACTATTAAGCTTATCTTTATTTACCCGGTTAGGCCTCCCTAACCCGACCCAGTTACCTACTTCTCATACCCGGTGGAATTTACACCATCATCCTAGATTAGAAGTTTGGTCATGACAATTAGTGTGAATCATTATGTACTTATATACTGGTGTAACTTGTATCCAGTGATTTAGTGAAAGACTATTACATGGACGTGAGTCCGGCAGAGTAGAAGAGTTCTCCGAAGTGTGTTAACAAATTTAGTGCATGTTTTTTACCCATTTTATAGTTACAATATTCTGTAACTGCTATAACACTCTGCATTATTTGTGTCCTGGTGACGGAAAAAGTGTTATAGCACATGTCTGTCATATGATCTATTACTATAACAAGGCTATAACATCCTTTCTAGCAACCTCTTTTTTTATCTGTTTGCATAGATTATTTTTGCTGATGATTTGTGTTGCCACAATGAACTTTCAGTGTAACAGTATGGTGTTTGATCAATACAAGATAACTATGGCTATGTTTGGGAAAAGCATCTTTTATTAATATTTTGGACAAAATTTTAATATTATACACTAACTTGCAAATTATTAATGGCAATTAGATAGACTTCTTAAAATAATAACTAGAGCCTCTAACGTTATTCCAAATAGCGCCTATATATACATTTATCCTCACATTTATTAATTTATTACACTCATTTTTCACTATATATTTTTATGTAGAATTTAGTCAAATAATATAATTAATCATATTATATATCTCTTTCAGAGCATATTACATTTTTATTTTTATTTATGCACTAATTTTAAAATAAATTTAATTCAAGAGAACTTTACTTTTGTAAATAAATACTGCCTTCTTCTTTTTTACCTCCCAATAAACAATGTGGCTATTGTAAATTCACCACGTTCCCTCCGACCAAAGGGATGATCAACAAAGACTCGATCCGAAAATGTTGTTTGACCATAATCAATAAATTACTAGTGGTTTATATGTCACAAATCATTTGTGTACGTTTTTTAACCTTACATTATTTTTTTCGTGTCCCCTATAAAACCCTCCCATCCTTTCATCATCCAATTCATTCTTTGGTTCTTCACTATTTCTTGAGGAATAACAAAGAATCATCACCATTTTCAATAAATAAATAAAAGGGAAAAAGAAATTGAATAATTCAAAAAAAAAATTATGGCACGTCAAGTTGTTGCATTTGCCCTCCTCTTCGTCGCCGCCCTCACCGGGGTGGCCTCCGCCGCCGTCTCCCCCAGCACCTCCCCGGTGTCGCCGCCCGCCGCCGCCGCCACTCCTAAGAGTAGCGAGGTGGTCGTCGACACCAATGTAGCCACCCCGGCACAAGCGCCTTCAGCGCAACCAGCGGGGCCCACGGCCTCATCACCAGCTGCTGAGACTGTGGCCCCCGAGGCCGCAGGGTCCCCAGACGAGGAGCCTTCGTCCCCACCAAACCCAGACAGCGAGCCCAGCAGCCCGCCTGCCGAGGGCCCGTCGTCTGACGCCCCTGACGCCAGCACGCCAGCAGAAACACCTTCCGCTGACGGCGACGACAGTGCCGCCGCTTCTTTGAAGGTTTCTGCTGTTCTCGGAGTCGCCAGCATTGCTGGCTTTTTCTTCTGAGAATTTTTATATCGAGGGATAATTTAATTATTTTCGATCTTTTTCCTCTGGAAAACTTCAATTTGTAGTGTAATATATTTACCCTACAAATTAGAATTTTCGGGGGATGTTTGTATTAAATTATATGTGCATGCAAACTTCAATTAATTTGTTTGATTTTTTTTCTTGTTCGGAATAAAATGGAGAGAAGAAACAAAATGCAAACTTAACAATAGTTGGATGATTTTTTTTGTGATCCATCACAATTAAACTTTCAATATTCCTTTGCACAATCATATTACTCCGAATTATTTGTCTCTAGACTAGATAGGGAAGAAATCACCAAAAATAAGATTAAATATATTCAAAATAACATTTTACACTATGATAATGTGACAATGTACGTATATTGTCATTTCACAATGTGTTTTGGTATTATATGTTGATGTTATTGGGATTCTACGTAATTATGCTTTAATTTGAATATAAAAACATAAAAGTCATATTTTGTTTATTTTCAAATACTCCTCGCCTCCATCCTGATATAAAATTATATTTTTGTTTTTCTTTTTTTTTCGTCCGGACTTAATCTTTGCATTTCTCACATAAATGTATGTTTGAAAAAAAGTATCCTTCCCTTCGTTAAAAATTTCCAACAACCTACTTATTTCCACTTTGTTGGTAAGGGCATTTTGGACAATTTTCCTTTATATTCAATCTCCAACTTAAAAATGAGGAAAAGTCAAAATTAGAAGATTAAAAGGTGACATTAGATGTTGTGTGACTTTAAATTATCCACACCATCCGGATGATCTTCCCAAATGAATATTTTGTATGTCTAAAAATGATCTTCTCATTACAATTTTTAACATTTAAATACATAATTGTTAACTTTTTTTTATTTATTTTACCTCACATATCTTATTTAATCAACTCTGTCCATCACAATAAGGGCAAAGTAAAGATTATATATATATATTTTTTTAATTCTCCATGAAAAATTCCAATGTATAAATCTGATAAATATTTCAATGTAGCACTTTTATTCATTATCCATTAGTCATTATTCAAGTAAATGTTCGCCATCACAGGTCATTATGAATATTATTATGTGCTATTTAGGGAATAAAATAATTTATATACTATTTAGAAAATGACTCAAGTTTTAGTGCTATTCAGTGCAAATATTTCTAGAATAAAAATGGCGAATATTGTAAAAAAAAACGGAAAAGCGGGTTTTCAGACGATAACATTAATAAGATTTTTGGACGGGGGAGAAAGTTAGTAAAATGTTGAACATTATCTCATTGAAAACAAATCACCATTTGTTTTGAAATTTTATATGTGTGTGTGTTCATTTAAGATTTTTAAACTAACTTCTAAATAGATGCTTTAAAAATTAACATTTGCTTTTTAAGCAGTCACTAAATTTTTGCAACATTTGCTTTTTTAGCAGTCTCGGAAACTTTTATTTATTTCTACGTTTTCATTGGTTATTTGGTAAAATAAAATATTCTTGACACCTCTTATTTCAAAGAACTTTTCATGTAATTTTTTGATATGTAAATTTTATTTTTTATTTTTATACCAATATGTAAATAAAATGAATAGAAAAAGCTTGATATTTTACCTCGGGAATACAAGTGTGACAAATATTTAGGGACGGAGGGAGTATACATTATTTCAACTATGATACTCCCTCCGTCCCAAATTAATTGCCACATTTGCTTTTTCAACAGTCGCGAGAACTTTTGTTTATTTCTACGTTTTCATTGGTTATTTGATAAAATAAAATATTCTTGACACCTCTTATTTCGAAAAACTTTTCATGTAGTTTTTTGATAAGTAAATTTTATTTTTTATTTCTTTACCAATATGTAAATAAAATGAATTGAAAAAACTTGATATTTTGCCTCGGTAATAGAAATGTGACAAATAATTTAGGACAGATGGAGTAAATAATTTAGGAAAGAGAGCTAGTAAAATTTGTAGCCGTTGGGGGCACTGAATGTATAAGAGCCTGTCTTTAATTTATACTCGTACTTTATAGGGAGTATGGCAGTAAAACTGTAAAAGCTATTAGAGTGATTTGGACAGAATTCCGATGATTTTTACCGTTGACCGCACTGCTTCTTCTTGAATCCAAGAGCGAGACAAAAATAAAAACAAAACATAATCCTTATTTCGAAAATTAATTTGACATATTTTTATCATAAAAATTAAATATTATATTGTTTTGTATGTTGATATCATTCACATGATAAGTCTTATTTTAGAATTAAAAATTAAATAGTTATTTTTATGTTACTTTCTTATGCTTATTTTAATTTTCATTTTTTTCATTATATTTTTCCCCTAGTTTTTTGAAAATATCAAAGTAAATTTTAGATTCTTCCCACATTTTATAAATGACATCATACTTCCTCGGTGTAATAAAAATCCTTTTTTTAAATCGATTTTTTAAAAAGTTTTTATGCATACATTATTACTAAGGCAAATTCCTACTTGGTTTCAAGAGCATTTACTAATCGACTTTTGGAATTGTTCATCTAAGCACTTTGACTCATCAAATTCTCTCAATGTGTAAGCCTAAATATAGTCATGTGTGATCTTGTTTGATTTGTCTAAACATATAGATTATTAATATATAATTTCTATAATTTTTTAATATACAAACTACAATATAAAATGGATTAAAGAAGTGCATTGGATGATGTTCTAAAAGGTAAGTGGACAAAGAGAGTGGGACAGAGAGAGTAATATTCTACTAACTTTTTACCTGCACGTCCAAAAATCTTATTAATGTTATCGCCTTGAAAACTGGTTTCTCTTTTTTTAACAACATTCATCATTTTTAATTCAAAACTTCTATCAATTTAATATAAATATTTATTTATTAATAAAAATAGATAAATAATAATAAACAAAATAAAAGTAATACGGAGTACATTCAAAATTCACATTAATCAAATATTAATTATTGAAATTAAAAAAAATAAAATTGAAAGAAAAAAATCAAAATTGAATACCATAAAGAAAGGGTTTAAAATAAAAAAATGAAATTTAAAAAGATGGATCGACGCCAAGGAAGAGGAAGTTTAAAAATGGATCAACAAAAACATGGAACAAGGGCGCGGCAGACCGTTACAGTTGGCGGCCGCCGCGATTTTAGGTGGGAATTTCAGTCTGGCTGAGTGCCGCGCTTGTGAAGTGCGCTGGAGGGGGGGGGGAGAGGGGAATGCGGCGGCCGCCAAGTTTTAGTATATTCATTTATAGACCTTAGTATATTCTACATTAATTTTATAAACCTTAATATATTGATATTATTTAAGAATTGAGCTTTTTACTACTAAAAAAGATCTTCTTGCTAGCCCATGAAAAGCATAAGAATGTCCACATTACATATGTAAACCTTAAAATCTTGAAAGAACAACTCTATTACTACTGCGTATATTAATAAGCATTCCTTTAATTTTATTATTAATTTGCTTTTTCTAAAAAAATAAGTAAAATCTAGTAGCACGAAGTGTAAAATTCTACAAATAACAAATTATGATTTAAAATATCACCAAACTTTTTCCTTATCATTTTCTTCATGCATTTTCATTAAAATATCACACTTTTCATTTGCATCAATACATACATAAAAAGAATGGATAAACTAAAGAGTATTACCTTTTTCCATCAACTAAAATAAAATTCCAATAACCAAACATTTTCATATTTTTTTTAAAAACAATTTGTAGATTAATCGTGAAATTAGTCGCTAAAAAAGTGACGAGTCAAACAACTTTCTTAATTAATTATTCTCGAGCCCTAGCCAAAACATCTTCTATGCCCTTAATAATTTGTTGTCATCCATTGATGACCACAATGCCTCACATGCAACCTTATAAGAGTTTCATATTCCATATTTTTAATTCTTGAAATAATAGTTAAAATGCATTTACATTAATAATTATGATCATGTATGTTATCAAAAAGCATAGTAAAAAGAAGATGTACATTGCCACATTAAGACACTCCGAACTCATATTTAGAGAATAAAAAATGAAAATTCTATTTTGGTACTTTCTCTATGTTTTACTCATATTAAAAGTGTTTTTTTAAATATTTTAGATTATTTTTACCTTAATACATGAAAACTTGTCAAAAAATAATGTCATATCTATAGATATCACAATATACTTCCGAGTATCATTTTCTTATAGAATCAAGAGTAATTTACTTAAATAGCACTAAGACATAATGACTTTCCTTAAATAGCACAACATATGTTTTTCTTCCCAATGTAGCACTTTTAGTCATTATGCATTAGTCATTATTCAAACAAATATTCGTCATCACTGAACATTATACATATTATTAAGTACTATTTAGGGAATAAAACAATTTTAGAGAGAAATGACTTAAATTTTAGTGCTATTTAGTGAAAATATTTCAAGAATCAAATGTCAAATTCTTATAATAAGATGTTCCAAATTTATATACCAAGGATTCTTTCAATAAAAAAAAATTTGGGCAACAATACTTCGTATTTTTTATTTTTAAATAATTTTATTACTCGGTAAAATCTAAAAATCAAACGGTAAATCTCAGTTATGAAATGAATAAGTGGGTATGGTCTTTTCTGAATGCTGACCCGCCAACACCCAATCTCCCGTTATCGCAATCCGGGTCTCCCCCACTCTATCGACAATGTGATCCGGATAAAACACCCAGATATCCAATTTCAACTCTCCTCCAATCCCATCTTCCCACGTGTCACGCGGGCCCCACACCCCGGCCCCACCTACTCATTGCTTATTCCCCTTCTTCCTCCCCACGCTCAAAGTCCTCACTCTTTCCAAACCATTTTTTTTTACTTTCTGTGCTCTCTCGGCCGGCAGCAGCATGAGCAAAAAACGGGCCAGATCCACCCGGAAGACCCGAACCCGGACCCGGAAACCGAAATTCCTCAGCCTCCGTCTCCAGTTCCCGGCGGAGCCGAAGCAGGAGCCGCCCGAATCGCCGCCGCCGTGCGTGGTCCCCGAGCCGGAGTCCGCGACCCCGCCGGTGGTTGTCAAGCTCGAGGACTCGGCGGCGGAGGAGAGCACCGTCGCGTACGACCTCTTCTCCGCGGCGGAGAGCGACGGCGCCACCACCACCATCACCGCTCTCCTCGGCGCCCCCTCCACCTCCGCCTCCTCCGGGGAGGGTCCCCTGAGATTCTCGTACGGATGCAGGGGAGCATCGCTGGCCCGGACGGCGCTCCGTAGCAAGCAGAGGGACCCCTGCGAGGAGAAGTGGGTGTCTTACTCCGAAGTCACCAGCTGCGCCGCCGCCGTCCCCGCCGCCGATCGGCGGCGTCTGTCGTTGAAGCTCGATTATCAGGGGATCATCAACGCTTGGTCCGACAAGGGCCCACTTTACATTCAAACGGAATCTCCTCAGACGGTGCCGGACATATTTAACGACGATTTTCTATCCAACGTAAGATCTCCACACTCTTTTACTGTATTTATTGACTCCGTTAATTATTAAAAACGATGGTTTCTTGTAACACTTAGAAGGTGTTTGGGATAGAAGGTGTTTGGGAGTATGGTGAGTTATGTAAAAGTAGAAGTCATAATTTAGAAGCAGAAAGCATGTATTTGTAGCTTTGCTAGAAAACACTTCTAGACCTTAATTTAACTTCTAAAGTCATAATTTATAAGCTAAAGCAGATTAGCAAACATTTAAAATTGTGTTTTAGTAAAGTAGAAGCTATAAGTTATTTTCAAATGCAATCTCAAACACCCTCTTATACTAAATGATGGGGATTTATTTGTTCATTAAACATACTTCCTCCGTCCCTAAATAGATTACAATTTTTTTTCGCTCTCCTCTCAATAACTTTTGTTTGTTTACGCGATTTCATCAAGTATTTGATAAAATAAAATATTCTTGTCACCTCTTGTTTTGTAGAACTTTTGACGTAATTTTTTAATATGTAATTTTTATATCTTATTGATATACCAATTTGTAAATAAAATGATTTCAAAAAGTAGGAAATTTTACTCCGTAACCCGCAATTTGTAATCAAATTGGGGACGGAGGGAGTATGTTTTTGAAATAAATAGTCATTAATTAATGATTCATTTATTCATATTCTCCAAATCATATCCAATTATTCGAAAACAAATGCTTTCTTCTTTAAAAATTGGGCTTAAAAATTCAATCTTTTTTAATCCGTAGTTGATTAGTCCCAATCTCAACTACTACCTGGCACAATAAAGTTCTCACTATTTATTCCCATAAAAAAGTTTTCACTTTTTATAAGTTCAAATTGTATTTTTTTTTGATAAAGTAACTTATGATACTTTTTTATTAATAAAAGTTTAATGTAATTTTAAATCTGATTTCTTCTGCGATTTAATAATAGGGGTTCTAGGGGAGAACTTTTTTTTTTTGAAATAAAAAAGGTTGAATAATCACATGGTCAATATAATAGAAGTGCGTGTTAGGACATAAACGTGATGCCAAAAAGGTTCACTAAAAAGGAGTGATGTTTGTCAATCTTGAAAACCTTTTTTCCTATGTTAGTTTTGGGAATATTTCGATTTGGGTTATGTCTTTAATCTTTATACTCAAATAAATTTACCGGCAAAATTGAGCCAGATCTTAGTATCACGGACGAATTTGTCTTAAAAATACGAGTAACGAATTTTAGATTTGGCATTTAGAAAAATACAACATTGTTAAAAAGTTTCTGTAAATGCTATGAATATTATGCATATACTCTAACTTTATTTACTTTATTTGCATATTTTAATTACCTACTAGAGGGGGAGAATAGTACAACAAAAGTTCTATGCTCTCTAGGTAAATGTTTGTTCGTGTGTTTTTATTAATTATGGAATATTTGATAAAATAAAATATTTTTTCATTTTTTATATTGTAAAATCTTTGATATACTCCCTCCGTCCCACTGTCTTTGTCCACTTACCTTTTGGCACACCATCCAATGCACTTCTTTAATCCATTTTATCTTGTAATTTGTATATTAAAAAATTATAAAAATTATATATTAATAATCTATATGTTAAGATGAATCAAACAAAATCACACATTATTATTTTTAGGCTTACACATTGAGAGAATTTGATGAGTCAAAGTGCTTAGATGAACAGTTGCAAAAGTCAAAAGTGGACAAAGACAGTGGGACGGAGGTAGTATATACTCCGTACATTGGAACACCGTAATTTAAACTTTGTATTTCTATAACAATTTTTAAGTAGAAAAATTATAAAAATGATAAATTTTATATACAGTAAAAATAATTGAATGTGCATTGAGTTGTTAATAAAAATGATTGAGAAACACAAAAAAGAAAAATAATGGAGTGGTGGGTCCAGGCCCATAAGCACTTTTGGGCTTTTCTATCACGGGGGTCCTCCACATTCGTGCACTTGTCCGTTGAGATAAACAGTGCACCCCGCCGGGGGTCATAAATGTCAGATCAAATTATTACATTTTCCGTCACTCGTCCACTCTGCATACGTGGCAATGATAGTGTGCTCAGATCTATCTATCCCCAATTCAAAATGGCATTAAATTTTACTTCCGACTAATATGATCTCAAAATCAACTAAAGAAATACTCTCTTCGTCTCAAAATCTTTGTCACATTTCCTTATGTCAAGAAATACTTCCTTCGAGGATCAGAAGGGTATGAACCAGTTCAGCTCATTTGAATTAGGCTGCATTTCATTCGCATGATCCGATCTGATTTTTTGAAGATGTAGTCTGATATGATCTGATTGTTATTATGTTTAAAATTGTTTGTGATTTGGTATGGTCTTATCTGATTTTAATAAGAATATGTAATAAGCTGAAAAAATAATAAAAATTTGATTGAATTGCAAAAAAAATGCAGGGGGCATGGAGCGGGCGGGAGAGTAACAACATGAGCTTGTACGCGGTCCCAGAAATGGCGGGAAGCAAGTTCAGAAACGACCGCGAAAAGGCGGGGGATGGCGGCGACGACGCGGCAATTGCAGTGGCGGGGCAAGTTCAAAGGGCGGCAAGCGTATTGAGATACAAGGAGAAGAGGCAGAATCGGCTCTTCTCCAAAACCATTCGTTACCAAGTCCGTAAGCTCAATGCCGAAAAGCGTCCTCGCGTTAAGGTACGTGGTTTATTTTTATTTTTGTATTCCATTCTTCCCAATTTAAGCTGCATGTTTACTACTTACATGGTCAAACTTTAACAACAATGTTTACCCATTTTTACGAACCATCTGAGAAAAGAATAGTCTGGTCATTTCTTATTTTATAGATCTTTTGATGTAGTTTTTAAATATATAAATTTTCATGTTTAATTTCTTACTAATTTTCAAATAAATTAAATTATAAATTACTTTTGTCAAATCTTGGAAACAGCGACATTAGGTTCTTTTTTGGACACAGAATACTTTTTTTGTTTGTCCCAAAATTTGTATTGGGCTCATTTTGTGACACAATATATGTTCATTTTTTGCAGGGTAGGTTTGTTAGAAGAGATTGAAGGACCTTTTTTTGTTACTTTTTGATTAATTTGTTATGCACCAAGTCATATGAGGAGTGCCCAAGGACTATTATATAATTGACTAAAGATGAGGGTTGTCTAATGAAATTTTGGGTCTCACATTGCAACTTGTAAAGGAAATTAGGACTGTCCGCCAATAATGATTATGGCTCTTGTGAAATAAAATTGCTGGGCGGACTTGTTATAAAATTTAAAAATGAATAAATTGGTAACTTTTGGGTAGTCACTTTTTTCCCCCATTTTTTTCTTTCTGATTCACTCATTTCCAATTCAGTTGATTCCACGCTTTTTATTTAAAGTACACTTAACTTTCACTTTGCTCCATTTCAAAATAATCTTTTCATTTTCAAAAATTAAAATTATTGTCTTAATTACTATTTTAACTTCTTGATAATTTTTTTATTTGCATATATTTTTAGATTATCTAATAAAATAAATTATTCTTGTAAATAAAAATGAGGCACACTACGGTTTGACAACTATGACTTGACAACCATTGCTTATGCTATTATATGTTTGACTAAATACATAGGTCTGAGTGAGTTCTCGAGGATGGAGTCCATCCGTTTTTTAGTGAATGCATAGCAATAGTTAATGAAAATATGCAAACCACTTTAATGAGACACGCTATGATTTGACATGTACTTACTCAAATAGATGATAGCATAAGCAATATGACATCTAGTGTTAATCATGATGTATGTAGTCGAACATATAACATTCGAATAAGGCACATATTAGAGTATCTCACATTGAAAATAATTAAAGAAAACATAATCGACTTACAAGCTTTTGAGCTAAACTATGTAATTATTTGGATTCAATCTAAATATCATATGATGCAGTCCAGAGATACACCTCGTCCGTCAAAGTATCTTAACGTTCATTCCTAACAACTCGCAAATCTTTAGCCCAGTTATCTGTATGATATGCATCTCCAACGGCCTGTGGCCTATTTAACCTGTTTGTTCGTCTGGGAGTCCATACCCAGTAGCTCGAAATTCTTTAGGTGTTGTTGCTCAAAACAATTTAGGGCGATGGAAATCCATTTGTACTTTGTCAAATATTTAGATTCAAAATGACTCGTATGGGCACTTGATGAGGAGTATTAAAGTATCCCAATTGAAAAGAAAAATTATTGTATATAAGTTTTTTTAATTGAACTAGATAATCAATTAGATTCAATTTTTTAATGCGATTCAACCCAACTAGTTTAGAACCAATCCAGTGACTCATACCCCATCCTATATTCTATCAACACATTTTTATCTCAGTGATTTTAAATTTAATTTTAGATAACATATCTGTACTTGTGAGTAGTTAAAGGAACATTTACAAGTTTAACATCATAAATTACTTTTCATGCAATTATCAAACTTGATGTTTGATTGCCTAGAAAAAAGTGAAATTTGCATTAAATAGGACTAAAACATAATGACTTTCCTAATGTAGGACTTAAACTTTTTTATTCTCTAAATAGGACTTAATAATGACCTCGCGGGAGGAATAATGTCCAGTAGTAATGCTAGACATTTACTTGAATAGTGACTACTTATTAATGACCAAAAGTCCTACATTGGGAAATAAAAACATATGGTCCTATATTGGGAAAGTCGTTATGTTTTAGTCCTATTTAGGTAAATTTCTCTAGAAAAAATTGGCAATAATATACATTTGTTTTAATTCATATTTATACAGGGCAACTAAAACCAATATGATTTTAATGGTGGTTAATTGACAATAAGAAGAAAAAAAATCAACAAAATGTATTCTCTCCTTTTGAGTAAATCCATTAGCCATAAGCCTAGTAGCTTTGAATCTATTACTTCTAGGTTCTTCCATTGACTTTATATAAGTACTTAAAGTTTCCACTTTCCTTTTTCGTTCGTCCACAATTAAAGTTCCCGTTTCTATTTTAGGAAAGTTTTTAGAAAGGAAATGTCCTTCCTACCCTTTTCCCATCTTCTTCCTCTCCTTCTTCCGTTTCCTTTTTCTATTTCATTTTTTTTCCTTTCTTCCCCTGCTACTTTCTTCGTACGTTTCTTCCTTTTTCTTCCTTTTTCTCTTTCTTCTTCATTTTTCTCTTTCTTTTTCTTCTTCCTCGTTCTTACTCCTCTTTCTTCTTCTTCGGTCATCTGCTTGTTTTCTTCAATTTTTTCTCTTTCTTCTTCCTTTTTCTTCTTCTGTCTTCTTCTTTCTTCTTCTGTCTTCTTCTTCCTTCTTCTTCATTGTTTTCCATTTCTTCTTCCTTCTTTTTCTTTAATTTCTTCTCCCGTCAACCAGATCTGATGGATCTTACNGATGCAGGTCTGCGACTGCGAAGATGTCGGAGGCTTGGGACGGCAGGGGGCGGTGACGGCGGGGGACAACGACGGCGGGGGCTTTCAACGGTGAGGGGTTGCAGAAGCCTCGTCAGAGGTGGGGGGCTAGATGTCAGTGGGGGAAAGGGGTGAAAGGTGGAAAGGTATATTAGGAAAGTCAACTCAAATTTCCTCCCACATAAATTTGCGCACCAAATCAAACTAGAAACTTTAATTTTGGACGGAAGGAGTATAAATTTCCATATTTGGTTAATTCCAAGAATTCCATCACTTTTTTCATGTCACTACCCTATTTTTTTTTTTAAACATTTAGATTTTAAGGTTGCACTTAAAATATTCAAACACATGAAAAATAAACTCAAACATATTATAATCCGACACATATCTCAAAGGTTTAACATCCTTAAACTTCTTTTCTGTATATCCCTAGTAACTCTATAATCGTGTAAATCATTTTCATAATGTATTTCAATATTATCATGCTCCAGCGCATTACGGATAATCCCATCTTGATTAATGTATAAATCACCATTTTGAATTCATTAGATACGACATTTTTACCTATCACCATTTTGAATTCATGCATGTGCACCATTCACCGCAACCTATATCCCTTTACTCCTTAAAGGCATTTCAAAGAAACACGTGATTTACATCTTGGTTTAAATTAATCTTATCATTTATCGATGTACATGCCCAATACAATCAAATATATGTATGCAGGTACGACAAATTAAGAAGTTCCCAAGAAAGTATAACTTCTCGGTATTTGTTTTCTAAAGGTATATCTGATTTAAACCAAGATGGACATCTCACACTTGACGATATGCATGGAATCCATGAAAAGAGAACGATACATAAAAACACAACTCCCCCGTCCCATTTTATAACGCCTGTTTCGGTTTACGATGTTTGACTTAAGTTATTTTCGAATCATTTTATATGACAAATGGTATAGAGTTAAAAAATAAAAATTACATATCAAAATACTACATCAAAAAATTTACAAACGTAGTAGTGACAACAATATTTTATTTTATCAAATTGTTAACGAAAATAGAGAAAGAAAGTGAATAAAGTTTGACCCTGTGAATAGTGAACATGCATTATAATTTGGGACGGAGGGAGTATATAACTTATGGGCATTTCTACACCCTCACTTCACTGCTAAGATGTGTCTTTTACGTTACACCCTTTGTCCATCATAGATCTTCTCAAGTGTTATTTTCGTTTGCCTAAAACTTATTCGTTACCTTTTCAATACTCAAAATACCATGCTACCCTAACTTACTTTATTTATTACGCATTACCCACCTCATTTAATACACTTTACTCACATTCATTTATGATACTTTATTAAATTCATACCTTTTTCCAACTATTCTTAGAAATTATAAAATGTCAATATGAGAAGATCTATGACGAACGGAATGAATATATAACTTGCTTAATTTATTTGTTGAATGTAGAATATCAAGTACTCTTTGTCTTTAAACAATTTGGCATTTCCCCTTACAATATTTGCTATAAATTATTTTTGATAAAAATCTATTTTAAGTATTGATATAAAATTTAATTCTAAAAAAAAATTATGAGAAAATGAAAACTTTAACTCGATAAAAATAAGGAAAAGTTGGCTATTTAATTATTCTAAGAAATGATTAGGAACGAATACTAACTCCATCCCATATTATTTTTCAATCTAATTTCAATGAGTCAAACCGGATAATTTTTTATTGTCAATAAAATAAAAATTACATTACACATGAGTACAAAAATTATTTTACTGGATTTATTTTACAGAAAATATCAATTTTCAGTTATTAAATTTCGCCAATTTTATTTGAAAAAAAAAAACAAACTAGGGGAATATCAAATAAGTAAGTCATCAAAAGTAATACGGAGTACTCCGTATCTGTATAATTTAATCGTTTATATATAAACACACACTGACACACTCCTTAATTTTAAGGTATAACTTTTGTGGTTTTCGAGAATTGAAAAATATTTCGATATCATTTTATATGGGGTATTTGGATCAAAGAACTAATTATAGAGTTATAGAATAATTTATAGAATTAAAATCAAGAAGAATTTTTAAAAAACACGAAACACCGTTTATGGAACTAATTCATAATTTGTGGTCAAAAGATACAAAAAGGTCAAAAAAAAAGACAAATAGACAATAACTTGTAAGGGGAGAGTATGGGCATGTTTGGGGATAAGTTTAAATATTAGCATTAGGTTTTAAAAAAAGCTATCTACGTTTTTAAGTTAATCTGTACCGTTGATTTTTTATCTAAAATGCTAAAACTAATTTATAACATTATTCCCAAACATGCCTTATATATACAGGAGTATGTGAAACACTAGTAATCTTTAGATCCCGAAATTGATTGTAATTTTTTTCGCTCAGTTCTTTATGAATTTGATTTTTTGTGTGTTTTCATTGATTACTTAATAAAATAAAATATTTCCGTCATCTCTAATTTTATAGATCTTTTGACATAAATTTTTAATACATCTGTTTAATACGGAGTATTTTTTTTCTTAAATCAATTTTTAAATAAAATAAATTCAAAACATACGAGATCTTACTTTGTTATGCGAAAATTATAATCTAATTTAAGACGGGAGAAAGTAATATAATTGAATTACCTTTTGGAAGTAGAAGCGGTAGATGATGATGAAAGGGAAGGAACGTGGGGAGGAAGTCAAAGGCCAATTTTTTTGTTGGCAGAAGATTAGAGAGAACAAAACTGCGCATACCCAAAATATAATTACTAAGCTAATTAATTAATTCTCAAAGATTTATATAGATCATATATATATCTATGGGCATGTTCATCTGTGCTCTCTCTCTTCTGTCAACACCGCCGCCGTCGACCCACCGCCGCCGAGCCTCGCGGCTGCCGCCTCCTTGTATATGGTTGCATATATTTAATGGCGGGTTGTATGTATATATAGACGGATCGGAGTATTCTCTTTAGGTGGGGAAGGGATAATATAAATATACTGCTCGGGTTAGCTAATGAACTTAAATATATCATGTTTTAATGAGGAAATAGGTTAAACTAAAATTAAAATATAAAGAAAATACCAAAATAAAAAATTTCATAGTACTTTTATGGAAAAATTACGGAGTATTTAAATAACATTATAATAAAGACAAAATCCTTAAAAAACACCAGGATTAGCAAAAGTACTATTTCATTTACATAGAAATTTTGAAATGACAACATTGACCTCATGTTAAATTTGTAATGGTATACGAGATAGAAGGGTAGTCTAGGTAGTGCCAATTAAAAAGGGTGCTTATATAAGAAAAAAACAAGAATGATGCTATTTGGTATACCACCAATGTTTAGGTGCTATTTTTGGAGTAAAATCTCTATTATCAAAATAGTAATTATAATTTTAATAAGGTCAACATATAATACCAAAAATACAAATTCTTATTTAAGGGGTTTGACGTTCATTTCCGAAAGGAAATGCAAGGGGCACCCTAATATTGTACGGAGTACATCATTTGAACGCCAAAGACAACACACATGCAAGATTTATGTACCCAAACAAAAAAATAGAGAGATGCTAGAGGTACACTAAAGATGTACCTCAAATGTATACCACATGTCTTTTTACCATTCATTTTTATTTGGTTTTTATTTATTTATTTTGAATACCACATGCAAATTTTTTTGCTTATGGAGAGGGTGGGGATTATTTAGTGTACCCCTAGCATTTTCCAAATAAATATCTGTATTTGTATTTGGTGTATACAGAAAAGAATATTTGTTGGGGGGTACCTTAATACTTTCTCCGCACTAAATAATTTTCAAATTTTACTATACAAAAATTGTAGAAAATTTTGTTTATTTGTGTGTTTTCATTGATTATTTGATGAAATAAAATAGTTTTATAAGTTTTTGTTTTATAGAACTTTTAGTATATTTTTTAAATGTACAAGTGTTATTATTTATTTATATATCAATATTTAAATTCAAAAAGTTTGAGATTTTATTTTATTTTACGTAAAGCGTAAAAGATTTATGGTCTGTTTGGTACATGGAATTGACAGAATTTGAATTGAATTGAAATTGAAATTCTATAAAATTAAATTCAATGAAATTGAGTTCTCCAACCCCAATTCATTTTTTGCACTACCAATTCCAAATTCACATAATTTTATGCTACCAAACACCAGAATTGAAATTGAAGCCCCAAATTACAATTCCACAACTTGAATTCCGTGTACCAATCGGAACCTTAGGCCTCGTTTGGTACATGGAATTCAAACTATGGAATTGGAATTGAAGATCTCAATTCCAATTCTGGTGTTTGGTAGCACAAAAATTATGTGGATTTGGAATTGATAGTGCAAAAAATGAATTGGAATTGGTGAATTCAATTCTATGGAATTGAATCCCATGGAATTTTAATTCCAATTCAATTCCAATTCCATCAATTCCGTATACCAAACCGACTCTTAGACTTTTTTTATTGGAAAGGATGGAAGGGATAGTAGGTAACTATACAACTGTAGAATGATGTAACCAGCCGTGGTACTGAAGTTGAAAGAAAGGTTGGGAGGGGGCATTAAAATAATTGCATTAGGTGATAAGGTACGAGGGTGTCGTGTGTCTACTGGTTCACTAGTCACACTCAAACACACTTTCATTCCTACCTAGGCATCTCACACTCTTAACATCCCTGTCCTCTCTTCCTACACAATCTATTACCAAGCATATTCTCAATTTTTTTGTTCAAAATTTTCCATGTCTGAGCTGTCCAAAATCCGAATGCACTAGCCCTCGACGCCTAGTTCATCTACCCGAGTGGGTGAGATGAAAGAACCAAATGTCGAAAAGGAAGGAGCTAATGTAGAGGTTCTGACTTAGAGGCGTTCAATCGTAAGCCAGCGCACGCTAGCTTCGCACCACTCGTTTTTCAACCAAAATATAGTTTGAGGTACACTCCTTTTTTGATAAGAGTTCACAAAAAAATTATCGGCTCGTCGAGCAAATGTCTCTCGTTAACCTAGACGACTTTGATGATGAGGACCCCATTTCACGACCGATCGGAAGGGAGATGACAAAATAAATTGCCTCGGGTTCTGCAGGGTCCAGCACCATTTCCTCTCACAACGATATCATGTTTGAACAAATGCGAGTACTCCCTCTGTCCACCATAGATCTTCCCAATAGCCCTTTTTCTTTGTCCACAATAGATCTTCTCATTTCATTTTTTAACAAGTAAAATACCACAACTACCCCCACTTACTTTATTTATTACACCTCATCCACCTCATTTAATACACTCCACCCATTTTTCATTAAGGGTATTATGGTAAACTTTCACCTTTTTTCAACTCTCCTTAAAAACCACCAAAAATCAAAATGAGAACATCTTAGGCGGACGGAGGGAGTATTTAATATTGGGGAAGAATAGAGGGAAGAGAAACAATAGACAGAGAAGGATGAGCTCGAAATAATGAAAACTGTCTTTGATATGTTAACTATCTTCAAACGTATGTATTACAAGAGAAGATAAAACGAGACCAAGGCTAAATATAACTTGTCTTAGTTTTTTTGTAATGTAATTTTTCAATTTAATAATTTTTTTATTGGATGCTGTTTTTTATTTAATGAATAATAATTTTTGTTTTAATTCAATTAACTAATGAAATCTTATTAATTTAAATTTACAAAATGTGTATTAAAAATTGAAAAAGGTAAGTTAAAGCTGATGTGCTAGAGAGAAAAAGTTTGGAACTCTGGACTTCAAACATATTTCAAGTGCTCTTAGGTCAAATCTCATTAAAAATTGAAATCCAATCGATTATTTAGTTCAACTCTATAACTTATATACTCTTTCCGTTCAAAAAAATTACAACATTATGCTACATGAAGCAATTTTTTTAATTTTTCAATTCGTTTTATTTAAAGATTGGTATATAAATAAAAATAAAACTTACATATTTAAAAATTACATCTAAAATTCTACAACACAATAGGTGACAAAAATATTTTATTTTACCAAATAATCAATGAAAACGTGAAAATAAACAAAAATTCACGTGATTTCTAAATACTGAAGTGCGACAATCTTTTTTGGATGGAGGGAATACAAATTATTTTTCTCTTCAGTTTTCAATATGGTATAGAGTCTAACACTCCGCAAGTGGAGAATCCATTTTAAATCTGATCGGTTGAGCACTTGAAAATAGATTCTCCTCTCATTCTGTTGTTTTTTAGTAACAACACCTTAAAGACCAAGAGCCATTATGCATGAACTTTCAGACGAGCAATCAGATTAAGCAAGCCACATGTCGTTAGATATGCATGCCACACAAACAACAAGAATGAGGTGGGGTAGAAATTACGTCTAGACGAACAACTTGATAAATGAGGTGGACTAAAACTCGCTCTGATATCATAATGGAATTTAGGATGAGGTAAGGGTCATTAGGCTGGCGATAAAACATTTAGTCGAACCATATTAAAAGATTGAGTTCAATCGATTAAATAATGTAACTCTAGATCTTATATAACATTTACTTTTTTCTTCAACTTTTCATATGAAATAGACTCTAACAAACTAAATTTTACCTTGATAATAATTATTTTTATTAAATCTTAATAAAGTCTTTTAACTTGTCAAAGTCACAAAACTTTCTACCATAATGCCTTAATGAAGAGAATGTACCTTCAGAGTATAATATCTCAAATTTTAAGGAATCTGGAATATATTTTGGATAATGTAGAACCTGAAATTTCGTTCTAGAAAATCAAAAGTATCCCAAAATATATTTTAGATAATTTGGAACTTATGAGTTTTACTAGAAAATCGAAGGTACCCAGAGTAATATTCTATAATGAATATGTCTAGACTAACATTTAACATGTTGTTCTTAGCACATCATATTGCTCATTGAGAAACCCAATGGATGCAAACTAATAAGATCGATGTGTTATGTTCCATCTTGGAATATCCTTTAGGAGGGGGAGTTATTATACTTCTTCACATTTAAATAGATATATACGAGTATGAATATAGATTTCATGGTGAATCTAACAGTCAAATTTTCTTTGAGAATTCTCATGATCCTAATACATCTGCTAATATAAAGACATATCCATTCGCGAATTTTATATTGTTCATGTAAATTGAAGGGCTATTTTAGAATATAGAACTGTTATAGTCCAAGTAAGGAAAAAAATTTTTGGGCCAAAACCAGACCGAAAAAAATGGTTTGGATCAGATCAAACAAAAAAAAATTGGTTTGGAGTATAAATTACTCATTTTAATTAAAAAATTGTGTTTTATTAAAATATAGATATTCTCCTAAAGTTCACATTTATATTATTAAAATTTAAGAAAAAAATTATGTTTTATTTTGATATCTCCAGTCGTAATTAAAAAATCAGCCAGAGCAAACCAAAGACCAAAATCTTAAAACTGTGTAGACTGAGCTTGTTTTTTCAACTTATTACATATTCTTATCGGAATAAAATCAGATCAGAATAGAAACACGTTTTATTATACTACCTCCGTCCGAGAGTATTTGTCCACTTTCATTTTTACACACCATTCATTCATCCAATACACTTCTTTAATCCATTTTATCTTGTAATTTGTATATTAAAAAATTATAGAAATTATATATTAATAGTCTATATGTTAAGACAATTCAAACAAGATCAGACATGACTATATTTAGGCTTACACATTGAGAGAATTTGATGAGTTAAAGTGCTTAGATGAACAAATTCAAAAGTAAAAACTGGACGAATATTCCGGGACGGAGAGAGTAATTACTATCAGATCAAATAAAATGAAAACTTAATCGAATTAGAACCAATCAAATAAGCTAAAAAACGAGTGATTAAGAATCCAACCCAAATCCATTTAATCTGGATTCGATTTGGACCTATTAGATTGGGTCTGGTCCTCCTAAGTAAGAGGATAACACATTAGTGTCGAGGCCCAGGACGAGTTCTTTCTGGACCCAACAAACCCGAAAATCTGTACTCCCTCCATTTGCAAAAAAAACTTCCTATTTTGAATTAGATTAAAAATAAGGAAGTGTTAAATTATAGTTGATTTCCAATTTTGCCCTTAATGTGATGGGTAAAAGTAAGATGTGATGGATACATTATTAGAGAAAAAGTATGATGTGATAGGTAGGGTATGAAAAAGTAAGGGTAAATGTGGTTTTTTATTAGAAAGTGGAAATGTTTTGTTGGAAGTGGAAAAAATGAAAGATGAAGTGTTTTTTAGAATGGAGGGAGTATTATTCTTTGTAGATTTATCTCACTTTATCCGTTCTCAGATTTCTTCTGTTCAAAGGGATGCGATTATTGCATGAACCCATCAATCTTGATTTCCCTCTAATCCCGTGCGCCTGTCTCAAAAATTAAAACTTTTGAAATATCAGTTCTGGGTTGAATTCATGAGCTCAATAGCGCATAATGCAAGCTCTGGTTGTGAGAATCGATTCTTGGAAGGTATACCAGTCTGAATCTGGACAGGTTTGTCCTTCAAATTCATTTTCAAGAAGAGGGTTTCTTGAAAAATCGGGTCTTTCTGCCACTAGTGTCTTGTTTGGATCAAGGACTGTGGGAAGTGCCCATAGTTTGAATTTGTTCAGCCCTCAAATTTCTCTGCCTGGGTTCAGGTTTCAAATCTCTTGCAGTCAAAGAAAAGATTCAATCTGTACCATTTCCGAACAAGATTCACCTTCATGGAACCGAGTTCCGGAGTTGACTCAGTACGAGGATGATGACAAATGTATGAGAAGAGCGAGGGTTGATGTGAATGAACTTGCACAGAGATTACAGACTGCCCAGAGTGCAGATGAGTTTGAAGAGATTCTCAAGGAGAAAGACGAACTCCCGGTTCGAGTGTACTCAGATTTGATTAAGGTTCTTGGTAAGAACAATGGGCTTGATTCTGCAATCTCTCTTGTTGATTGGCTAAGAAAAAGAAGAGCAAGTCATGAAGATGTTTCTTCTTCTTCTTGTGTTCTTCCAGACATTTTTATCTATAACAATCTTTTAGGAGCAGCAAAAGAGGCCGAGAAGTACGATGTGGTTGAGAAAGTGATATCAGACATGTCCTTAGCTGGAATTGATCCCAATGTTGTCACATATAACATTCTCATGAGTTCTTATATACAAAAAGGCCGAGAACTCGAAGCTCTCGATCTTTTTAAAGAGATGGGAGACAAGGGTTTATCTCCAAGCCCCATTTCCTATTTCACAGTGCTATTCGCTCACAGGAGACTGGAAGACGCGTTTGGAGCCGTGAAATTGTTCTTAGAAATTCGAGACAAGTGTTATGAAGAATCTGAGTTTCCCAAGCTTGAGAATTTCACGACCCGGATATGCTACCAGGTGATGAGAGAATGGATGACAAGGGGAGAAAATTTAAGCACAAAAGTGTTGAAACTGCTGATAGAAATGGACAAGGCAGGGATTGAACTTGGCTGCGCGGAATATGAACGCCTCATTTGGACATGTAGGCACGAAGAACATTATACTGTTTGCAAAGAACTGTATGTGAGGATAAGAGAAAGAAACTTGGGAACCATTAGCCTATCGGTTTGCAACCATGTGATTTGGGTAATGGGGAAAGCCAAGAAATGGTGGGCAGCTCTTGAAATATACGAAGATTTGTCGGATAAAGGCCCAAAACCAAACAAGATGTCTCATGAGCTTTTAGTTTCACATTTCAGGGTTCTTCTTGGTGCAGCTAGGAGAAGAGGGATATGGAAATGGGCCATTAGGTTACTCGATAAGATGGAAGAGAAAGGGCTAAAACCGGGAAGTAAAGAATGGAACGACGTCCTCATTTCGTGTTCAAAGGCTTCAGAAACTTCGGCAGCCATAACAATATTCAAGAGAATGGTTAGAAAAGGGCAAAAACCTAATGTCGTGTCCTACGGGGCGTTGTTAAGTGCCCTAGAAAAGGGGAGGCTCTTTGATGAGGCAGTTCAAGTATGGAAACATATGGTTAAGGTAGGGGTTAAACCGAATCTGCACGCGTATACAATTATGGCTTCGATTCTTTGTTCCCAAGGTGAATTCGATGCGGTAAATCACATCATCCACGAAATGACGAGGTGTGGGGTTAGTCCTACAGCTGTGACTTTCAATGCTGTCATCAGCGCTTGTGCGCGTAACGGTATGGGGACTGCAGGGTACCAATGGTTTCAGGAAATGAAAGCTAAGAATATTAGCCCGAACGAGGTGACCTACGAAATGGTGATTTTGGGACTTGCGAATGATGGTAAGCCGAGGATGGCCCACGAGCTGTACCTTAGGGCTCGAAACGAGGGCATGGTTCTTTCGGCAAAGGCTTATGATGCAGTCGTCGGTTCTTCGCGGGTACATGGAGTTACTGTTGATCATTTGACTCTCGGGGTTCGGCCACCCGAGAAACATAAGAGAAAGATTTGATGATGGTTGTGGAACTATGAAGGCTCCTTTGAATCACACAATAAGAATGTGGTCCTTAAATTTTGGATCCTTTTGAGTCACACTATATGCATTTGGTCTACTTTTAGCCCTTGATAACAGAGTGAATCTACACCTAATGAAAAAAGAGTGGTATTTTTTGTTATCAAGGGTTTTTTTTTTGTTATCTATATGAAAAAATCTATCATATACATAAAATTTACAAGTTTTTTTAAAATTTATTTAAGTTGTAGGTAAATGTTCATTTGACTTAGATGAAGGTTCACCATAGAAGTCCATAAAAGCATTTGCCCACAATTTAACCTAAAAAAAAACTCCATCCACCATGAAAATAAGTTCTTATTTGCATTATGTAACATATTTTTTTTAAAATAAAAAGTGTGGTTGAAATGTATAAAAAGTTAGGTCATTCTTCAGCACAGAAGTAACAAACAGAGCCTTAATGGTTTCATTCATTTCTGAATATGGCCTAACCAGAACAAGAACAAGAAAGAAGAAGAATCATGGCTAAAACAAAAGGTAAAATTAAGAAAAGTTCCACTTTCATTCAAAGATAAGCTCATAACCTCCTAAACAAGATTCATTATTCAAAAACAGAGACATAAATAAAGCAAACTAAAGCAAAGGTTTCATATTAAAACAGGGAAAAACACAGTATATTGGAACTTAAAAAACAACTCTGATTAGGATTAGGGTTCCCCCCTAATCAGTCTTCCTGGACCTGGAGTCCTTAAGCTGCCCTCTCTTCCTGATCCCAAGGCAATACTTGAGGCGCCAAGCATCAATCCCGGACTCGGGCAGCGAGGAGAGCAGAGCCCATAGAAGGGAGTGGGGCCAGTACGGCGTGCACCTCGGTTCATACCCTATCCAACCCAATGCTGCCCGCGCATACCCGTCCGTTGATGGAACAAAGAACGACGATCTCTTTATCGATGCCATTTTGGTTGCCACGTATAACGGTACCTACCCATCATCAAAAACCCCTTTAGCACAAAAGAGCCCTACAAAACATAATATTGTCGTGTACACGCGCGCTAGGCCAAAAATACCTGGCATTGCACGTCGATCCCGCTGTTCTTGTATTCGACGTATAGGCATCTTGAGAATTGGTCAATGTATCTGAACGCAAAATCGTGAGTGTGAAATCAAACATAGTGCAGACTGCAGAATGTCAAAGAACCAACTCAACCAAAAGCTCAAGTTTGTGGTTGTGGCCTAGGAACAGTTATTTATATTCTAACCTATAATAATAAGGATTCGAAATGCACTTCTTTTGGGAATCTAGGTCAGTGTCATAATATGAAACCAGGTTCTTTCGGCATCCAACTAAGGTGTCATAATATGACACCAGGTCCATTTGAGACTCACAATGCTCTGAATCCGAAGTGGCCCTAAGCCCCTAAGTTCCCTCAAACTCCCTTTCCCTACCCCAGTTCCCCTTTCGCCTCACATTTAGGTGACAATGGGAACTGGGTGAGGGCAAGAGCCAGGCTAAAGGATTCTATGCGAGGTTTAGGATACCCCAATTTTATTCTAACTCTCACACCGCCTTCTTGCAGAGTTACAGAGACTCATGGGCACCGACACCGCTCTGTGCGTCTGTGTCTGTAAGGAGAGTGATGTGAGAGTTGGGGCCAAAATTGGGATTCCCTAAGTTTAATTCCAATATATTGGCACATTTTAGAAGTAAAGTGTCCAACCAATTATTATTAAAGAAATATCCCTTCATAGAAATTACATGTCATCAAAATACTATTGTGTGTATCTTCTTGGCTAAGTCAAAATGTGTATACAAGTTGGTAAAGATTGCAGAGGTGCTTACGCTTTGGTGGCGGCATAAACGGAGTAAAGAGGATCGGAAGGGATAATGATGGCGGCGCCGGAGCCAATATTGACAATGGCCCCTTTCTTCCTCTGGAGCATCCCCGGCAAAACCGCCTGAGTGACCTTAGTAGTCCCTTCCACATTGACCTTAATCAGATCGGCCAACAGTTTATCATCGACCTCGTGGAAGAATCTGGCGTACGGATACGAGACCCCGACGTTGTTGATCAGCACTCCGACATCCAGCCCCTCCACCGCCTCCCGGATTCTTCCCGCGCCGCCGTCCAAATCGCCGGCGAAATCCACCACCACGGTCTTAATCTGGATCTGCCCGTGCTTGGAAACTATCGAATCGGAAACGTCCTTGAGCTTCTCGGGGTTCCGGCCGACGAGGACCAAATTCAGGCCCTTACGGGCCAGCTGGAAGGCGAAGGCCTTCCCGATGCCGTCGGTGGGGGCGGTGACGAGGGCCCACGACCCGTATTTCTTGAGATTCTTGGCGGGTCGGAGGATATTGACGTGGACCCATCTGAGGAGGGAGACGGAGAAGGCGAGGAGTTTGAGGAAACCGATGGAGAGGAGGAGGAGGAGCCATGGGGGCTGGGATTTGAGGTGCTGGCAGAGCCAGGACTCCATTGTCGCCGGCGGGGAAGAGCTCCGAGAGGGGTTTTTGTGTTTTGCTGCAGAGTTGAATGTGGGGGAGTGAAGAGGTGTTTATGGTGGGTTGAGGAAATGAATGCGGTTGGCCAAAGCTTTGAATGAATAAATGGAGGGTTAGGAAAATACAGTTAGGCAATTGCCGCCCATTGATTTCTTGATTGGGGAGGGACGAAAGGCCATGAAGCCTTCAACCTTGCTAGGTTTAAAGCGCATCTACCCAAAAAAAAAGAATAACAATGCACAATCTACAAACTAGACCCGATCACAATCCTGGATACTCATTCCGGCCGTAAAATAGCGAGCATGGACTCGACATTTTATGGGTATGGGTCGGGCTCAGGACTTATAAACGATGACCTATATACTTTAAGCTCGGGTTTGGGTTCGAGTTTTATGCTCAAGGGCACAAATTATTATAATCACAGATACATACTTTTATAGAAAAAAAGAAATTATAAGTACATTTAATTAAAATAAATACATCTTTATTACTCCGAATTATTTACTCCACATTATTTATTTTGTATCACACATTGATAATGATACTTAAATAAATAATACTCCGTACTCCGAGGTAAGAGTATCAAACAGAACATATTTTGTACATTAGTCGTTCTTTGATATACTCATCATAGTTAGGGCAAGGTTCCAATGACATTGGGAACCAATGTCACGAGATGACCCAGGGGCGCTCCGGTGCCCCGTTCGTAAAATAGATGGTTCTTACCACCCTAACCCCCACGGTAAACCCCCCACCCCGCCCCGACCCGAACGCACCCCTCCACCCCCTTCAATTGCACCCCACAAATTGATTTTGACTTTGGAGTCAAAATTTGACTCCAAAGTCAAAATCAACTTGTGGGGTGCAATTGAAGGGGGTGGAGGGGTGCGTTCGGGTCAGGGGGGTGGGGGGGGTTTAACGGGGGTAGGAACTGTCAATTTTACCAACGGAGCACCGGAGCGCCCCCAAGTCATCCCATGACATTGGTTCCCAATGTCATGGGAACCAAGGTGTTATAGTTAACATGTTAGACATCTATTATGCTAATGCATTATTTTATTTATTATTACTCGTATTTTTTATTATTTAGAAGTTGTTGCCATGCGGACTGGGCCTGAAACCTACGAGTACCCATTCAAGCGCCCAAATCTAGAAAATTTTTGTAATGTAGCATTTCGGTCTGGCCTAAAACGCAACCCGACCCACACTTTGATCAAGTCTACTCCAAACCGACTATGTTAGTCGACACCAAGGTATGGTAGTGATAACATTTTTACACTATATGTCACAAAGACACGTAAACAAGTACTACGGGTATCTGTATATGTGTGACACATGATGTCAAAGTGATGTCATAATTTAGATGTCCCCAAACATTTTTTTAAAGTGGCATCTATTCCAAACCACAACTTCCTTCTACGATCACAATATCAATCTCATCGCCGTTGCCACCATTCTTAGATGTAAAGGCTTTTAATCCTTATTTTTTAGATTTGTTTTTGTTGGCACAAAACTTGACCTTGTATGAAGAAAAAAAACATTTTTTTTGTTGGAATTCTATTTTGTTTTTGGAAAAAATTCATATTAATACTATAGTTGTTGGGATTTGTCTTTTAGATTGCTACTCTTCCATATTTCTTTTAACTCTTCCAATTGTTTTCAACTTCTTTCACTTTCATGTAATTTTTCTAATTGCTTTCAACTTCTCTCGACTTCTTTCAATTTTTTTCTAACTTGTAATTTTTTTAAATCCATTATAGGATTTCCTAATTCTTTTATACCATGTTTGGGAACTTGAATTTTAACTTCAAACCTGAATTACAGTCAAATTCCATATTTGGGAGTCCTTAAAATTTTGAATTTAGATTTTGAGGCAAATTTCACTATTTAATAACAAAGCTCAATTAAGGAATTCATATATCTCTTCTTCTCATTATAAATTCAAGAATTTAAATTTTGGAATTGACATGTAAGAATTAAAATTAAATGTTAATTCCCAAAAACTTCCTTAAAATTTTTCTAACTATTTTCAATTGTGACATAAAAATTACGGAGTACTTGCTTACATTTTTTATAAATATTTTATTTCAACATCGTATGATGATTAATTATTAAAGTAAAGGTATAAAATGAGCATTTATAAATTATAAATGCGCATTTGAAGAATATACAACAAGATTGTATATCAAATTATCGATATTTATAATATGGAAACTCTTAAGACACTCACAAGTCACAAATTCTATTTTTATCTGAATTCAGAAAGAGTTAGAATAGGAAACAATTGGAAAGAGTTCAATAAAAAGCTATAAGAAACTAGAGTGTATAGGACTGTGAATGGGCGTGTCCCCTTGTTGGGTGATGACAATCCTGCCGTGGTAACTTCCTTATCCTTTTTTTCTTTTTAATCAATCAAAATTTAACACATACTCACTACAACCAATCAAAGTAATCTACATCTTCGCCCCATCAATTTTCAATCACGCTGCTCAAATCCAACTGCTTACGAGTGCCTGCGTGGCACTTCATCAAGCTCTGTTAAACTCCCGTCAAGTCCGCCATAACAGAAAGTCATTTTTAGGCACAAGCGCAAATGATAGAGAAATGCAAAGTACATTTGCGATTAATTTGGTCATGCTCCTAAGCTCGATCACATTTCTTTTAGTCATTTCTTTAATTTCTTTCTATAAACATATAGTTTGGATGCCAAGAACATTGTCTATTGCGCCGACTTTAGCTTAGGAAGTGTATTGTAATTTATTCACTAATTCGTTCACATTAATTTAATTTGATGAACAAATAACAACCCAGTTTCATCTCTTGAAAGGGAGTAGTATTTAGTCTAAAAAACAAACTTTGATTGAATAAATAATTACGGAGTAATTTTTTATTATTATAATAAAATATATTTCCTATAGTTTTTACAAAAAAAAAACTTTATTGATATGAATTTATACATTCACGGATAATTTGTTTCAGAATATTTAGTATACAAATACAATTAATTATTGTGCAATTATCAAAGCTGGATACATAAATTTTACTCACCGTCCTAAATTGTTATTCTCGTTTCTGTTTACGAGGTTTGACAGACTTTATTTTCAATCTAATTTATTTGATTGTAGGTGTAAAATTTAAAAATAAAATTTATATATTTAATAACAATATCAAAATTTCTGCAAAATATGAGGATACAAGACTGTCTAATTTTATCAAATAACTAACGAAAATAAATAAGTAAAGTGATTAATGTTTGGCCGTATTAATAATAACATGGAAGAAACGTTTTAGAACGAAGAGAGTAGTGTGTAAAGTTGGTGCTAAATTTTGATTGTAGGTGTAAAATTTAAAAATAAAATTTATATATTTAATAACAATATCAAATTTTCTGCAAAATATGAGGATACAAGATTGTCTAATTTTATCAAATAACTAACGAAAATAAATAAGTAAAGTGATTAATGTTTGGCCGTATTAATAATAACATGGAAGAAACGTTTTAGAACGAAGAGAGTAGTGTGTAAAGTTGGTGCTATTTTTCAATTTTATATTTATTAAGTTAGAAATCTTACTAATTAATATGAAAATTTAAGTCTAATTTGTTATAATTGTAACTATATTTAAATCTCGTTTTTATTTAATCTAATCTTTTTTTTTTGTAAAATAATCTAATACGGAGTATAATTTAATAAAAATAAATACTCTAGTTAGGGACTGTTTGACAACTTCTGAATGGGTAAGTGCTGAACCAGTAAGAGATCTGAACCATTAAATGATGAACCAGTAAGAGGTCTGAACCATTAAGAGCTAGTATATTGCTTAACTATTCAGAGGCAAATGTCTGATCAATTCAGATAAGAGGTCTTAACCATTCAGACTCCGTATAATACTTAATCATTCAGAGGCAAATCTCTTAACCATTCAGACATCTGAACCATTAAGAGGCTGAAACAAACAGTCTGAACCATTAAGTGCTGAACCATTCAGACATCTGAACCATTAAGATGCTGAAACAAACATCCTCTTAGAACAATGGAAATGACTGAGTGACGAAGGACTTAACCACACGACGACGAGAGGGGGGAAGTGCGAAACCCTTGTCTAAAATCGGCAAATCTCATCCTGATCGCCTCCGCCGGACTCAGACCTCCGCCGCCGCCGCCGCCGCGTAAGCTCAAGTGCTTCATTCTCCCATCTCTACGCTCCAATTCTCCGAATCGCGAAATCCCCAATTTATAAGGTACGTAAGATTATATTAGAAATTATTATTGAATATTACAGAGTAGTAATTAACGTTTGTTGTTTTCTATTTGATTTGAATTTTTTTTAATTGTCGGGAATTCAATTTATGCATTTTTATTTTATTCACTTTAAATTGACTTACTCAGTAATCTGTAATTAATATTTATTTTCCAAAAATCAGGATTGACAATGCAAAGATATTTTAAACAACAACCAAGATGTTAAGAACCCAGGTTTAGTGGAAGTGATAAAAGATTTAACATTAGTGCTCAACTGTCCCACACAACATTTGAATCTGCACCATCCTTAGGGAAAAGGGATATGAAGAGAATGTTGGTTTTGAAACATTGGAATTGATCCTGGATTAAGAAAGAAAACTTTTGAATTACATCTGAACATTCAAGATGATATACACCGTAATTATTTTAAAAAATGACCTTTTTGACCTTTCCCTAAAAAACTTTGACACCATGAATTTTCTTTCAAACTAATTGGAGGAAAGAAGCGTACATTCGTTTCTTGGTTTGATCAATATCATTGGTTGGAGTATAACATAGTGAAGAATGCCGCATAAGAGATTGCTTATTTGAGATTATAGATAGGTTTGTAGAAGAGTTTGATAGTCCATTTGATGTGGTTAACACAGAGTTGTCGAGTTGTTTTAGCTTGTATAAATCCATCATCCTTATTTAGAGCATTTGACAAAGCCACGACTTAAAATGGCTTAATTTCACATTTGTCAGTTTTTTTAGTAGTGGTATCAATTTCATTAAAATGTACATGTATTTTTATTTTGAATATTATCCAGGAGTATTACATTAAGAATTATTTATTTTTTGTCAGCTTTTAATTTTGTGAAAAATGCTAACATTTGTAGTTCAAGCTGGTCCGTTCTTTAATTGGGCCTAAATTTTTCGAAAGTTTGTGTTCTGTTAATAATTCTATCCAGTATCCACAGCTCTTTCCACTTCTTTATTTTTTTAAATTTGGAAAAAAGCATAACATAAATTTTGGAAAAACATAACATAAAATTGGAAGCAAATTATAAACATTTGTCAGGTGCTTTATCAAGAAATGGTACAAAGTATTTCTTTTGTTGCAAAAGCAATTATTTTTTCAAAAATGGTAAAGTCTTTTATCCACAGACGTTGAACAATGATGTCCCTGAGAAGGCGAGTGTGAGATGGGGTGCCCATAGCATGGTCCATTATTTTTTGGTCCATTCATGTTGGACACCATTTTTTGCAACATTTTTGACACCAAGAAGGGATTTACCAACAACCTTTGTCTGCGATGTCTGTGAACAGTTTTCACATGTAAATGTTGTCTGTGAATTACTTCTTTGGTGCCAAATGTTGTGTGCAACGGGTTTGTTTGTTATTTTTAACGATTTCTTTGAGATTATGATGCAGGCAATCCAAAGTTTGGGTCAGACTCACGTAACGATCAATCAAACAAAAAATGGATAATAAAGTTGCTTCAGAATCTAAAATTCCAGCTTCATCATTCAAAAGGTTGGGTAGGAAATCACCATTCACTAGATATGGTCTCCCTATGATCTCACTCATGGTGCTCGGTTCTTTTGGCCTTGGCCACCTTCTGCAAGGCAGGTTGGTTCATGTCTTTCATCGTAAAAGTTGTTTCGTTGCTTGATTATTATAGTTCCCTATCCTATGACTGGATGCTTTACCGTGTTTCCTTTCTATGTTTTGTTTTTCTGTTTTTTGAGCCGGGGGTTCTTGGAAACAATCTCTCTACTTCCAAGTCTAAGATAAGTAAAATCTACACAGACACACTGACACACCCTTCCAAGGTCTTGCTTTCTTGTGGGAATGACCTAGGGTTGTTATTTATGCTGTTGTTGTAAAATTACCATTTTACCCCTTTTTTTCACACCGCTGCTCTTTTGTGTTTTCTTATTTTTTTTCCTCTCTTTCGTTTATTTATATAAAGATTGATTGCCGGGGAATGTTGTGTAGCTCAGCAAGGATATTGCTAAAGTAAAAGATGATCTAGAGTGGGAGATCATTGAGTCAAGGAAAGCACTTTCGAGAGACGGACAGGTCAACACTTATAACCCCAAAAAGATTAACTTGGAGGATGAATTGAAGGTACAAAAGAGTCTTAATTTGAACTTCCTTTTAAATTACATGTTGGGGTTTCTTTTTAACCTCTAATTTCCTTTCATGTAATTCAGGCTTTGAAAGAAAAGATTGATATAGACAATTATGAATACAAGAGAATTCCTAAGCCTAATGAGGGCAAATGAAAGGGCAACATTTTTATGCTGGGAAAAAAAAATGGTGCAGTCCCATGATATGAACTATGAAGACAAACATCAGTTGTAGTATCTCCTGCATAAGGTATATTGTTTGGTAGCAATGTATGCCTTTTTTGTCCTTGTCAAACAATAAATTCAAACCATTTTATGGTGTATTTGAGAACTTGAATTTGGGTTTCAAATATGGATTTGATCCAAATTACTTGTTTGGGAACTCAAAGAATTTGGATTTCGACCAAATTCTTCTAATTCAAAATTAACCCAACTACAAACCTAGACTTTTTCCCATGTCATTTACAAATTCAAGCTCAATTTTTCTTTAATTTTTAACTTTTCTTTAATTCAAGCCCCCCTTATGCAACAACAATTTCATACATATCACCCGCTTCTCTAATCGCCTTTGTCGATTTCAAATTCAAATTTTAGAATTGAAATTCTATGACTTCCCAAACAACATTTGAAATTTGAAATTATAAAATTTCAAATATTGGAATCAAAATCTAAGGTTTCAAATGAATTTTAGTTCCCAAACACTACTTTAAGTTATTGACTTGCTCTGTATCATTTGTTGTTTGCTAGAAGTAAACAACTAACATATTAAACCCAATATAATCTCACAGAAAGAAAAGTAAACTTTGAATAATTGAAATATAAAGTTGAAAAGAACATACCCTATATCACTATATGACTTATATGATTTTAAATCATTTCCTTCATCATTTCGTAACTCTAAATAGCTCAATTTTACCTCTTTTTTTCAATAACCACATTTGGTCAAATGTAAAATTTTAATTCGAGAGTCGAGACAGAGAGAGTCGAACACCAACCACCCTTGGAATAATGCAGTTTAGAGAAATCTTGCATGAGTCTAAGCTTTGAACATTGGAAAAAAATTATATGAATCATACCTTAAATCTCACTTTTGATGCCACTGCCTTCATAAACATTACACATACCAAACAATGTTCTCTGCCTGAATGCAATAGGGTCAAAAAATGGTGTGTAAGTTGGGGATTTTTCTAATATGGCTCTTGAACAGTTGCACATCATCAATATAACCAAAACCGAGTGGCATGCAACATTTAAATGTTAATTATGCACAGGCAATCACATGTTTTGGGATGTGTTGGAGTGTCATCAACAAGCTAGCTAAGCATCTGATCTCTTTTTTATGGATTTTATGAGCTGGGCTTTCTTTCGATACTCAAGCATGCTTTTGAAGCGCCGAGCATCCACGAAAGAGTCTGGCCAACAGTGCATGAATGCCAGCTCAAGCTGGTGGGGCCAGTACGGGCAGCAGGTCTCGTTGTACCCTATCCAGCGCAGCGCTGCCCGAGCATAAACATCCGCGGATGGCTTGAGGATCGACTTTTTGCTCATCCATGTCATGTTCGACGCCACGTTCAAGGGCACCTGCGTGCATCATCACACATGTTTTTGCATTGGAAAAATTTACGCAAATAGTTCCATAAATTTGAGATTTTACAAGAAATGTTTAAGATTGTACGTAGTATAGTATTATCAGCGCTCTCGAAGTTCAATATTTATACAATACTACTCCAAAATTACATAGTGATAACAAATATAGAGTACAATTTAATTATCTGACGAGATAATCATCTGAAAAAAACTAAATTGAGCTTTAAACGTTTGTAGGGCTCGTGCATAGCTACATCATATTACTTTAAGCTCAATGAATCCTACACGCTAGTCATTTTCATCTATACCCTTTTATACTCTTTTAATTTGATGAATCATACTCTTTACATCCTAAAACTAAATTCACATTTTCTTTTTTTATTCATCTCAAATTAAAGTAAAATTCTCCATTTATAATTCTCCGAATTTTTTGGAACAAATTTCAATCACATTCAACTTTTTAATACTTTTTTTATTGAGAACATAATTTGATAGCAGATTAAGTATTCCCAAAGTAGGGAAGTTACTCTTTAACTTCATGAAAAATTTTGTTATAAATTTGTAAGTGATTTTCCTTGAGAATGCGTTTAGTTGGAAAGGGAGAGAGAATGTCCTCAAGGCTAATTTGGTTCACAAATTTTGGAAGGTGAGGGTTGACTTGGGTGAAAAACAAGGAATGAAACCATATTATAATAAAAACTACTCTCTCTCCCACAAAACGATTATGGTTTTGATTTTTAAAGGATTTAAAAGAAGTGTATTTTGGTATTGATTTTCCAAAAATGCCTTAGGATGTGATGCATAAATTAATAGTGTAAAAGTGTGATATGATAGGCACGTTAATAATTAGAATTAGTAAAATTAAAGTGTCTTTTTAATAAAAATGATAAAGGTTTTTTAGTACGGATGAAAAAAGAAATGAGAAAAGTTTTGTGGAACAAAGAGAATATAATAAAGTAGGGGTGGACAAACGGGTCAAGGAACCGGGAGTCGGAACCGAATCGACAGGTTTGGTCCGAGTTGGGGGCGGGTCCTCTTTTCAAATATTTATAACAGGCCAGGTCGGTCCGGTCCTTATAGGTTTTGGGGTCGGTCCGGTTCTCCATTTTGAAATTGTCCAGGACCCGGACCAGACCGCTTTTAATACTCCGTATTATTATTAGTAATTACACGGGAACAACGCCCTTACGAGTTACGCCTTACCCCTCTTTGTCATTGTTTTGTCTTCATTTAGGTCTTTTTTTTGTGTTGTATGAGTGTATGACTTAAAATTGACTATGAGGGTAGTACATTGTTTTTGGACTAATGGTGAATGAGCATGTCTTTATTATTAATTTATTATTACTTTATTTTTTTAATAGAGTCAATTCCATAAAATGTCCCTAGTTATATGTCGTTTTACATATTTAGTCCCTACATATCAAATATTACTAATTTAGTCCCCAATTATTATATTCATTTCCACGAATGGTCATTTGTTAACATTTTCGTGAAAAACGTGGATAAAATTGTAAATGCACATTCCTCTCTCCTCAATTAAGCTTCCTCCCTTCCCTCGCGCTCTTTTCCCTATCCCGTCGCTGAGTTTGAAGCTTTGAACCCAAAACCAAAATCATCACTCTTCTTTCAATTGTTTGTCTAATTGGTGGAACCCTAATTCAAAACCAGTAACCTTCATGGATGAGTTTTAATGTTTATTATCTTTACAATTTTTTGAGACTAACCGATAAAACTCATCTATAAAGCTTATTGGTTTTGATTTTAGGTTCCACCAGGAAGACTAATAATTGAGAAAGGAATGATCATTTCAGTTTTGGGTTTAGAGCTTCAAACTTAGCGACGAGTTTGGGAAAGAGTACGAGAGAAGGGAGGAAGCTTAATTGAGAAGAGAGAGAAGTATGAATATACAATTTTATCCATATTCTTAACAAAAACGTTAGCAAAAGACCATTCGTGAAAAATGATGGAGTATAATAATTGGGGACTAAATTAGTAATATTTGATATGTAGGGACTAAATTCGTAAAACGACCTATAACTGGAGACCTTTTATGGAATTTACTCTTTTGAATATTAGTATCATGATAGGTTCGGACTGTTTATCTGTGGAATCGGCTCGTTTCAAACAAGCCGGGTTAGGTCCGGTTTCAATTTTAAAATTTTGAAAACCCGTTCCGGCCCAGACCGTTTTAATAAAAACAAACCGAGTCCGGTTTATATAAATCTTGGCTCGGACAGGCCCATGCCCACCCGTATAATAAAGACAGATTGCAAGAAAGTTGTAGATTAGATTTATAGCTTGGTGCATAAGTGCTCTAAATTTGATCTCATCATCCAGGATTTTGAGCGTTCATTAGGTTTAGTTAAAAAAAAAGAGAAATGCTAGAGTCACAAACACTTTGATCATAAAATAAACAACCTTGCCATTTGTGCACCTCATTAAATGAATAAAATGATGTTGAATAATTTAAAAGTAAACATTTAAATACTCCCTCTGTCTCCCATAGATCTTCCCAATAGCCCTTTTTCTTTGTCCACAATAGATCTTCTCATTTCAATTTTTAACAAGTAAAATACCACAACTATCCCCACTTACTTTATTTATTACATCTCACCCACCTCATTTAATACACTCCACTCATTTTTCATTAAGGGTATTATGGTAAACTTTCACCTTTTTTCAACTCTCCTTAAAAACTACCAAAAGTCAAAATGAGAACATCTTAGGGGGACGGAGGGAGTACACAAATGGTAAATTTATGTATTTGAAATGTTTGTGATTCTAGCTTTTTTTCCAAAAAGTACCTTTTAGGAAGAAACGAATCAGGTATATTAAAATGGAAAATGCTAGGGTGCCACCACATGGGTGCTACCATGGGTGCACCCATGCTTCGCACAGACAAACACAAACGATAATTGTCTGTGCGTCACAGACAATTATTGTCTGTGTTTGTCTGTGCGAAGCATGTGTGCACTCATGGTAGCACAGATGTGGTGGCACCCTAACATGATCCTATTAAAATAACGGATAAATGAGAGATGGTCAAAATCAAGTACTCCGGGGTATTTTCTATGCCCTAAAAAGAGCTCCATTGTTTGGTTGACTTTACCAATTTTCATGAAGGAAAAAGTGTGTGTGAAATTTGTTTAAAGAGCAAGGGGCCCACACGTACCTGACACTGTACATCAATCCCAAATTCTTTGTACTCCACGTTAAGGCTTTTTGTGAATTGATTTATGTACCTGATAATTCCCAAACCAAGGAAAAAAATGTTATGCAGATTTTTCGAAGAATATCATGAACCACCTTAAAGATAGATAATCTTAAGGATTAGCATATAAATGGACATCTTCCATGTAAAATATAATGTTGTTTGATAAACTTTTTCTGCTCCCTTGACACTTTGACTTCATAAAGTTTAAGAAATTTGTTTCCAATAAATTTTGTTTATAGAAGAAATGATTATTGTTGTCACATGCATATTTATGAGAGTACTTAAATAAGAAATAAAGTAATTAAGTATAAAGATTATTTGGGACATCAAAATGTTATGTCATACCTGGAAATTATTTTTATTTTAAAAATAGTCCTTAAAAGGAAGTTAGCACTTCTAATCCCTTGTGATAATGCATTTATTTCGTACTCAGTATCCTAATTTTGCTTATCTAATGCATCTTACACCATTCTCATGCCTTTAATTGTATCGTTAATCGTATTACCTCTCCAATTCCTAAATTTTTGAGAATATATAGAATAATAAAGTTTGGGAATTAAGGATCTAATTCGGTGAAGGACACAATCAATGACATGAGAATTATGTCAGGTAATTAGATATTTAAGATTAAGATAATGAAAACAAAATAAATATCTTATTTCAACATATTAGAAATGCTAACTACGTTTAAGACCAATTTCTATTGAAAATAATTTTATAAGGATGACTCATCAAAGAAATCACATGAACTAAAAAACAAAAATAGCTTATTTTAGTGGGACTAAAAACACATTTAAGTTTTTATTAATATACCCAGAGTATATTTAGGGTAGTCAAAATGTGTAGTACTTTGACTAAAGATTTAAACAATAAAGAATTGTTTGACCCGGAGAAGTGAGAACAGAGGGTAATTTTTTGGAAAAAAGCTTTTAACCATAGATTAATTAATGCTAAAATGTACTTCCTTCGTCCTAAAATTAATTTCTCATTTTGACTTTTGCAGTTAAAGTTTTTTAAACTTTGACTGTATATTATGAAAAAAATATATTGAATTTTCATATAAATTTAGTATCAATAGATTCATTTTGAAACATAGTTTTGAAATATATTACTTTGATAATATATATTCATATAAAATTGGAGATATTAATGGTCAAAGTGCCGCATTGGAGACCGTGAAAAGTCAAATGGAAAGTTAATTTTAGGAGGAGGGAGTATCCTTTAATATAATATTTGAGAGTTGATAGCCTAGAATTTTGACACGTGGCACTCTAAGAGTTTTATTTTAATGACACATCAGTTTACACGTGTCTCCTTATTATTGTTTCTACGATCAAAGACTTTTAGAGAATCTTCGCATATCCGCATATCCAGGGGCGTAAATCTCCAAAGCTTCTTCACCCCTAATTCTTCTCCTTCTTCTCCAAAAATACAAGGATTTTTCCGTTTGATTTCATCGCCTAAGGAAAGGAACCATGATTGCGATTCAAGGATCTCAATTGAAGGAAAGTCTCTAAATTCTAAAAAACCTA